GGCCTGTCAACACCGAATTTCCTGCTGTTTGATGAAGTACAATAGCAGTGTCATTTCGTCGTTGTGATTGGCTCTTCCCACCGTCGGCGCGCGAAGTCTCCCCTGAGAACCGTTCTAATTATAAATCTACTCGGGAAAGGGTTGACTCCAAGGCCGGGGGGTACTCGCAGAAAAATTGGGTAGGGGTGTGCGGCCCGCTTCCCAAAACCCTTACCCTATTTATGACCAAAATCTGCGATTTTCCCTACCCTATTTATGACCTAACCAAAAATTTGATACCCTATTTATGACCTGACCCTTAAATCAATACCCTGTTTCAGACCTGCCTTATAATTATTTCCCTAGTTCAGACCAATGTTAAAGGCAATGTTTATCTGCTTTTATTAGGTTAGGGGGACATGATAAGATAGCTTCTTCTAAAAAAGTGCATTCAAGACTACAGTGCAAAAATCGTTACCCTATTTATGACCAAAATGGCGGCAAAATAGCCAAAATCGATACCCAATTTATGACCAAAACGGCTGAAAAACCCTACCCTTTGGGGCCGCACATACCTATATAGCCCATATTAGGGAGTACCCCCCCCGGGCTCCAAGGGCTTGTATGGTAGATGGAGGCTCCATTTGATGGGCTCCTGCCAGGGACTAATTGGTGTAAGACTTCCCAAAATGTCCGAGTCACTGCCCACTGCTATATATGAACGCTACTGTGACTGAACAGTAACCGTAGTAGATTGTGTATCTGTAGTGTCTGTAGTAAGTGTAGTATCTGTAGTAGGTGTAGCAAGTGTAGTATCTTTAGTATCTGTAGTAGCTGTAGTATCTGTAGTAGTTGTAGTATCTGTAGTGTCTGTAGTAAGTGTAGTATCTGTAGTAGGTGTAGTAAGTGTAGTATCTTTAGTATCTGTAGTAGTTGTAGTAGGTGTAGCAACTGTAGCCAACAAAGGTTATTTGTAGTTTCCTAGTCCCCAGGCCTCATTATTGCGCGCGGCCGATGCGTTTCGGGTCACGTGGTCCGAGGGAGTTTTTGAATTCATTGACCGAGAAGGCCTGGGAAGACGCCGTTCAGGGACCAGGCAAAATTTATAGTAGAAGAGCTCCTCTGCGCATACGCGCTGAGTCATAAGCGTGTGCATTGGGCAAGATGGCTCCTGTATTGGGGTAGAGAATGAAAAATGCAACCGTATAACGTTTTCAGTCCCTAAGCGAGCGCGATGTTCGCCATACATCACAAAACGAGGCTGCAGCAGAAAAAAAAACACTTTATAGAGCCAGTATCAAATGTTCTCAATGTTCTCAGGAGCCCTGACGTTCTTAACAACAACAGGAATCATTTTTAGGAATATCCATTTGCAGCGTGCTCAAGGGTGTTTTGCATGTTCATTGCTATCTTTCACATCTTATATAGTTCCATCTAGTCACGTATGACCAAGATTTACGGCGATGAAATCGCTACAGGGTTTGTCCCGAGAAACTTCTTCTCAATTTGAGTCCTCGCTGACGACTAGCATGCGCAGTTTCGTGACAAGCTTAAGTGTCAGCTGCTACATGACCCCACCCCCTCCCTGTCATTCTCGACTCCAGAGCCATCGGGAATTTTTGGCCGCGCAGAGAAGAGAGCTCTGGAATCGACAAAACCACCCTGTTTGCTTGCACCAAAATTAGAGACCTAAATTTATTTTCACCCCCTCAGTCGCCCTTTTTATTCTTCTTGTACTCTAGTACTGTTTACTTCGACAAAATCAAGTTAGCAAGTTGCTAATAAAAACAAAGCGCTAGGCGATTAGCATAAAAAAATATCAAGAGAAAATGAGCTAGATCATTCTCTCTTGAAATTATACATAGTTCTTTCTTTCCCCCTTTTTTTAATAATAAAGGAAATTAATAAAATAGTTTATATCATCTTTAAATAATCTTACAACTTTTGTTGGTTTCTTTTGCTCATCGACGGCGATTCTCGAGGATTTCAACATAATCAAGTAAACAAGCTATTTTTTTTGTCTGAAAAAGAAATTTATTGTTTGATCAAGGCTCCTGATGATTTAGTTAAAACAAGCTAAATGGAAATGTCTCTTACAGTATTGTAGGTTGGTTATGGAATACTCGCAGGAGCAGCTGAATTACTTCAGACTCTGCTACATCGTATTCAATCTGGTCCCAGTAGGACTGCGGCAGATTTTCAAACAGGAATGGGATTTCCTTTACAGAACAACTTTACGCGGAGAATGGAAAGACTCGCCACAAAATGGCCGTGATTTCTACAACAGGGAAACTAAAGCAAGTCGGAAGAGAAACGCTCGGTGCCTGACAACAATCCAGAATGGTGACACGGCAGAGTGGGACTGCACCTGTTTGTTTTTTGCCATTTTGTACTCAGACAGTATCGGTAAAACCTTAAGTCCAGCTGTCTATAAAGATGTCGATGATATTCGTCAAGTGCGAAACGGGATCGCCCATATCACGGAAGCTAGCCTGACAGATGCCGACTTCCAAACTTCAGTAGATCGAGTGTTGAACGCTTTTACATCCCTTGGTCTTCTCATAACTACGATCCAAGAAATAAAGAGCCAGAAAAGCTTTCCAACAAATGAAGTGGAACAAATTAAGAAGCAAGCTCGTGATCTCCAAGCTGAGTTGGACCAAACAAAATGTGACTTGAAGGAAATAAAAAAGACACTTCAGAGTACAGAGTTTGATCTGATTTCTGCAAAAGAAGAAAACAAGGCTCTCACACAGGAAATAAATGCCAAACTTCAGCCATTTTGCTTTCTCACATCGCGCCCACCCCACGATATCATCAGGCGTTCGCATGACATTGAAAGAATCACAAACAAAATGGAGGAACTTTACAGTGGTGCCAATGGAAGTGTTAGTACGGTGTATTTGTCAGGAAATCCAGGATGTGGCAAGAGTCAACTTGCCCGAGAAATCGGAAAACAGTTCTTTCCTAAACGAACCGATGATATTGAAGATCTAAACTTTGTTGCAACACTGAATGCAGAAAGTGTTGAGACACTTGCTGAATCTTACATGGCCCTTGGACGACACTTAGGGCTAACAGAATACGCCTTGACAAGCTTAGAATCTTTAAAAAATGAGAAGCCTTTTGAAGCAATTCAAAGGCTCCATCCGCTGATTCTGCCGAAGACTAGTAAGTTTACCAAGTGGCTAATTATTGTGGACAATGTGATTGACTTACGCTTAGCCCGCGCCTTACTGCCTCAAACTGGTAGCGAGGAATGGGGCAATGGTCAGGTGCTGATTACTACTCAAGATAGCGGAACAATTCCCCAAAACGCTCCTCACACGCATCATGAATCGTTAAGTAAAGGAATGATGCGTGATGAGGCAGTGGACTTACTGGAAAAAATATCGCAAATTTCAGATCGAGAACAAGCTGAACACGTCGCTGAACGTCTTGATTTTCAACCACTTGCCTTAGCTGCTGCTGCTTATTACGTGAAAACTGTTGTGAACAGTGGGTCTTCAAATTATGATTGGAAAGCATACCTTCAAGACATATCAACATACGACCTACGAAATGAGATTGAAACTGTCCTTGCGACTGAAAGTTCCGCCTATGCTAAAACAACAATGGCCGCTGTTGAAATGGCCCTCCAGAGAGCTGTCGTCACTGACGATGTTCTTCGCGAGACATTCTCCTTTCTTTCGCTCTGCGCTAACGATGATCTCCCACTCGAAGCTGTTTTGCAGTTCGTCAAAGTCCAAGTGAAGGACCAACCAGAGGAGTTACTGAAAGCAAAGATTGTAAGGTGCTCTTTACTTCTTGTTTATTCCGAGGAAGGCAATAAACAAAAAACCTATTTGCGACTGCATAAAATTGTTCATGAAGCATTGAAACGAAAAGAAATGTTTAATCTAAAATCAAGGGAAAACGACCACAACATTGCAAACGCAGTTAAGATTTTCCAGTCCCAACTTAAAGAAAATAATAGGAATAATGCGTTTTGTAAAAAAATGATACCCCACTGTGAAACTTTACTTAAGTTCATGAAGTCAGAGTTCAGTTCGGATCCAAGCTCTTTTAAAAAAAGGTTTACGCCCTTTTTAGATTTGGATAGATTTATTGATTGGCTATGTACTGTCGCCTGTGACTGTCGAAAAAATTGCTATTTCTTCTTTGCGAAAGATTTGGTCGATTTAGCATGCAACCTATTGGAGAATACAGACGAAACTATTTCAGGTGCGTTAACTCGTAAAGCGAGGATTTTCAACTTGAGTGGTGAAGTTTACAGAGACATTGGAAGATACAATCAAGCCACAGAACTTCACCAAAGAGCACTGTGGATTCTAAAAAACATTTTCGGTGAAGATCATGCCTATGTAGCAGAAACTTATAACGACTTGGCTTTAGTGTACACCCACCTGGGAGAATACAATCAAGCCAAAGAACTTCACGAAACAGCACTGATGATTAGGAAAAAGATTTTTGGTGAAAATCATGACTATGTAGCAACAAGTTGTAACAACTTGGCCTCAGTGTACACCCACCTGGGAGAATACAATCAAGCCAAAGAACTTCAAGAAAAAGCACTGATGATTAGGAAAAAGATTTTCGTTGAAAATCATGCCTATGTAGCAGAAACTTATAACAACTTGGCTTCAGTGTACACCCGCCTGGGAGAATGCAATCAAGCCAAAGAACTTCACGAAAAAGCACTGATGATTAAGAAAAAGATTTTTGGTGAAAATCATGTCGCTGTAGCAACAACTTGTAACAACTTGGCCTCAGTGTACACCCACCTGGGAGAATACAATCAAGCCAAAGAACTTCACGAAAAAGCACTGATGATTAAGAAAAAGATTTTTGGTGAAAATCATGACGATGTAGCAACAAGTTGTAACAACTTGGCCTCAGTGTACACCCACCTGGGAGAATACAATCAAGCCAAAGAACTTCACGAAAAAGCACTGATGATTAGGAAAAAGATTTTTGGTGAAAATCATGCCGATGTAGCAACAAGTTATAACGGCTTGGCCTTAGTGTACGACAGCCTGGGAGAATACAATCAAGCGAAAGAACTTCACGAAAAAGCACTGATGATTAAGAAAAAGATTTTCGGTGAAAATCATGCCAATGTAGCAACATGTTGTAACAACTTGGCCTTAGTGTACACCCGCCTGGGAGAATACAACCAAGCCAAAGAACTTCACGAAAAAGCACTGATGATTACGAAAAAGATTCTCGGTGAAAGTCATGCCAATGTAGCAACATGTTGTAACAACTTGGCCTTAGTGTACAACTGCCTGGGAGAATACAATCAAGCCAAAGAACTTCACGAAAAAGCACTTGTGATTCTCAAAAAGACTTTCGGTGAAAATCATGCTAATGTAGCAACATGTTGTAACAACTTGGCCTTAGTGTACACCCGCCTGGGAGAATACAATCAAGCCAAAGAACTTCACGAAAAAGCACTTGTGATTCTCAAAAAGACTTTCGGTGAAAATCATGCTAATGTAGCAACATGTTGTAACAACTTGGCCTTAGTGTACACCCGCCTGGGAGAATACAATCAAGCCAAAGAACTTCACGAAAAAGCACTGATGATTAGGAAAAAGATTTTCGGTGAAAGTCATGCCAATGTAGCAACATGTTGTAACAACTTGGCCTTAGTGTTTTACAATCAAGCCAAAGAACTTGACGAACAAGCACTTGGGGTTCTTCAAAAAGATTTTCGGTAAGAATAATGCCGATGTAGCAACATGTTGTAACAACTTGGCCTTAGTGTACAACTGCCTGGGAGAATACAATCAAGCCAAAGAACTTCACGAAACAGCACTGATGATTACGAAAAAGATTTTCGGTGAAAATCATGACAATGTAGCAACATGTTGTAACAACTTGGCGTTAGTGTACACTCGCCTGGGAGAATACAATCAAGCCAAAGAACTTCACGAAAAAGCACTGATGATTACGAAAAAGATTTTCGGTGAAAGTCATGCCAATGTAGCAACATGTTGTAACAACTTGGCCTTAGTGTACACCCGCCTGGGAGAATACAATCAAGCCAAAGAACTTGACGAACAAGCACTTGGGGTTCTTCAAAAAGATTTTCGGTAAGAATAATGCCGATGTAGCAACATGTTGTAACAACTTGGCCTTAGTGTACAACTGCCTGGGAGAATACAATCAAGCCAAAGAACTTCACGAAACAGCACTGATGATTACGAAAAAGATTTTCGGTGAAAATCATGACAATGTAGCAACATGTTGTAACAACTTGGCGTTAGTGTACACTCGCCTGGGAGAATACAATCAAGCCAAAGAACTTCACGAAAAAGCACTGATGATTACGAAAAAGATTTTCGGTGAAAGTCATGCCAATGTAGCAACATGTTGTAACAACTTGGCCTTAGTGTACACCCGCCTGGGAGAATACAATCAAGCCAAAGAACTTCACGAACAAGCACTTGGGGTTCTTCAAAAAGATTTTCGGTAAGAATAATGCCGATGTAGCAACATGTTGTAACAACTTGGCCTTAGTGTACAACTGCCTGGGAGAAAACAATCAAGCCAAAGAACTTCACGAAACAGCACTGATGATTACGAAAAAGATTTTCGGTAAAAATCATGCTAATGTAGCAACATGTTGTAACAACTTGGCCTCAGTGTACAACAGCCTGGGAGAATACAATCAAGCCAAAGAACTTCACGAAAAAGCACTGATGATTAGGAAAAAGATCTTTGGTGAAAATCATGCCGATGTAGCAACATGTTGTAGCAACTTGGCCTCAGTGTACAACAGCCTAGGAGAATACAATCAAGCCAAAGAACTTCACGAAAAAGCACTGATGATTAGGAAAAAGATTTTCGGTGAAAATCATGCCAATGTAGCAACATGTTATAACGACTTGGCCTTAGTGTACACCAGCCTGGGAGAATGCCGGGGGCCCCCGGGGGAGAATGCAATCAAGCCAAAGAACTTCACGAAAAAGCACTGATGATTAGGAAAAATATTTTCGGTGAAAATCATGCCGATGTAGCAACAAGTTATAACGGCTTGGCCTTAGTGTACAACAGCCTGGGAGAATAGAATCAAGCCAAAGAACTTCACGAAAAAGCACTGATGATTAGGGAACGCCTGTGTAGCAACAAGTTATAACAACTTGGCCTCAGTGTACAACAGCCTGGGAGAATACAATCAAGCCAAAAAACTTCAGGAAAAACACTTATGATTGGCAAAATTAAAAGATTTTTGGTGAAGATCATGCCTATGTAGCAACAGGTTATAACAACTTGTGTAGTAGGTAACTTGGGGGAACAGTAATCCTCTACTATGAACTCCAATTTTTTCTTTTTAATGTAGATCATTTGTTGCTCATCTTTTCACAATCAAGGCTAGCAGTATCTCTCTGACAAGACCTAGTTACAGCTCCTTTTATCCTAACTGAATCTGAAGCCGGCTGCCAGTCTTACTCAAACTTAAAATAATCTTACATCAGTAAAAATTCGATTGGCTATAAGAATTATTAACATATTTTCTTTCGAGGTTGTGTCGTGAAAATCAGTGAAAACAGGCAGAGAGACACAAAAATTACAAGGAATATTTACATGAATGAAAATCACATATGTACAATATCGTCACTCTAAAATGTACAACTTGTCAATTCGCGTACAGTGCTAAAATTGTCGTTTAAAAGCCTCTTGTCGGAATATCGTACAATGGTAGTTAGTCCCGCCTTTTTCCATATATTAACTAAAAGATTGTTTACAAATCTCTAGTCAAATATCATTTAGCAAGATATTTACATTGCGAAAGCCTTTAAACAAAGATATCACTCATTACAACTTTTAACTAGTAACTTTAACTAGGCAGTCAGTAACAAAAGTTTGTTTATCACAACGAGTTAAATAAGATAGTCTGTTGGATAAGGTTTCTTTGGAAGCACACTAAAAGTTTCGAATAAACCACTTAAAACGCGAAAGATAGTAAAAATAGGAATGTCCAGGAAAAGACAACTTGGCAAGGTCAAGCTTCTGAAGATTTTAGGAAAAACCAATTAAGCCAATTGATGTAAGATAACAAACAAATTTCGTTAAATTTACCAGAACTAATTAGATATCTGTGTGGGTTCAGTTTAAATCAAAAAGCATCATTTCTTAATTGAATAGCGGCACGTGTGCACAGAGAAGCCGACGTCCAAAAGAGCATCTTTACAAAGGAAGGCCAAACCTTGTTAACGAAAAACAAATAGCTTTTGTAAGCCCAGTGCATTCTAGTAGAACGTATTTCTATAACAATTCAAAACACTCTACTCAGTGATAATAATAATTAAAATATATTAAAATAGCAATGGTTGATGATTCATTAACGTTCATTATTCGATAAATGTATTTTCATTTTGGTATTAACTTATACCCAAAAATATCGGTTTACACTTGGCATCAGTGTGTTACAGAATGGGAGAATAGAATCCTGCCAAAGAACTTCTTGCAAAATTTAAATAGATAAAAATAGTAGTTTAAATTTAAAAGGGTTTGCGTAGATAAAATGTTACAATGATAAAATGTTACAGACTAAAATACAAAACAAGGTAGACACTAAGTTATGGTAGTAAAAATGCTGAACTAAATAAGAGTGTTTAAGCTTTACTTTAAAAACATCAACAGACTTGGCGCATTTGACTTTGAACAAAGCATTCCAGACCATTGGAGCGGTGCAAGTGTAGGACCTATCACCGAGTGTTGCTTTGGATATGAAACTGGGATAACTAAGACTTATATTAACGTTTGAATTCCTAAGACTATATCTCCATGGACACCTAAGATAAATAATTGATGATAAATAAGACGGAGCTGAACCATGAAGATGTGATATGAGTAATCAAAACAATTTTAAACTGAATTCTTAATTCTGGTTGGTAAGCAGTGCAAAAAGATTTTCGTTGAAGATAATACCGCTGTAGCAATAAGTTATAACCGCCTTGGCATCAGTGTACGAAAGAAGGGGAGTATACACAAGCCAAATACAAGTAAGTTTACGAAAAAGCACCTTAGATTAGGAAAAAAATTTTCGGTGAGGATCATGGCCATGTAACAACAATATATGACATCAGTGTTCAACAAACAGACTGGGAGATCGGAACAAAATATTGCCATTAATAAGCACTATCATGAACTTTATTAATACAGTTTTAACAAACTTCATCTATACATGTTAAAAAAATGTGGGATAACAATAACTACACTATAAACAAGAAACGACCCAACTCTCAAAGTGACCCTGAGTATAAGAAGGAGTTTAGTTTCAGTCAATTAATTAGTGAAGTTCAGGTGTTTCTATTATTAAGCAGAAAACCTTGACAGAAATAACGGATATCATAAACCTATCATTAATTCACGTGCTTTGCACTAATTATCGTCCAATCTCGGTACCCGCTGCATCGAGTAAAGTATTTGAAAAATATGTACTTGTCGAATTGATGTTTCATATTCTTTCCATGATGTATTTGCGCCCAATCAATCCAGTTTTTTAATTATTTTTTTAATCACCCCTGAATGTTTAGTTCAGTTAATTGAACAAATTACTAAAAGCCTTCTTGATAATGTTGCTCTTCTTTAACAGGCGCGTAGCTGGGGTTGAGAAGGGGTGTTCGTACTGATACGAATATTTCTTAACAGCGGAAGGCCCACAGCGGGAAATACTGCGAGCCTCCAGGGGGTTTCTTGGGGCAAATTGCTCCCCGAGAAAATGTTGAAATCTAGAAACCTGGAAATGCTATTTTCAGTAGTCTCCACGTGAATATTTCAAACTCGATCAAGGCTAAAATAACAGGTATTTTTAGTCATAACAACTATATTTCCTCTTGAATTGGAACATCCATATATAGTGATATAATACATACCGGCTAAGTACACGAAACCAGGGGCAACCAACGGCAATTTTCGGAAAATATCTGTTCGGAAGACGATTTGAGATCTAGAATGTTCGGAACAGTTGTTGTAAAATTTCTTGCTTGCCTGCCTTCCCTAGGATTTTCGAACATCTACAAAATGGTATAATTGCCCATTTTTAACGGATTTTGACCCTAAAAAGGCCACCTAGAATTTTCGGGATCCTTTTCCTGGCTGAAATTTTCGAGAAGCTAAGTTTTGATCCCTATAATTTTCGGATCAATATAGACTTTCAGCTAGGAAATCCGAACAGATGAAAAGTTTTTAGAGGATAAAAATATGCCTATATCTACCGTTTAAATACTAAACTACGTTCAACAATGCTGTGTTAAGTGGTTTTGAACTATATCCTCGTTGGGTGCCCCTGACGAAACGTTTTACAAAACTCGGCGTGTGCTGCAAGGTATCTCGGAGCAAAAGTTTAAGCCCTCCAGTTCCCCGGCTGCGCTGTCTTTGTACTAAAAGCAGCGTCAAACGTCAATATGTATTAAACACGTATCACCTTGGTCCTCCCAAATCGTATTCCCCCTCTTTTGTCTTTCGAGTCTCTATTTGTCAAATCCGGAACGCTGTTAAGGAAATATCTTCAATGGCGGGATAATTTTCACTTGTGCCCATAAGACTTTCCCGATACTGTTAGCGTTTTCTTGCAGGGTAATTTAAACTGAGCTACTGTTTGCTTTGGGATGAAAATTAACAGCTTGTGTTTTTAGTCCTCCATCATTGACCTGCAAAGGGGGTTCGTTCGAACCCCTCGACCACCCCATAATGGCTCTTGACACTGTGAACCATTCCATTCTCTTATCTGAATTGTCCAACTACGGCATCGAGGGCCTTGAAACTTTGTAGTTTCTTAAGCATAGAAGGCAAATATTTAATACGTGAACGGTGTTTTTTCAGATATTCAAGCTATCAATTTTGGAGTGGCGCTATGAGTGTGATTTGTCCTTGGCGCAGTTCTTTGTCTGATCTATATTATTAGTCTTAATAGTGCTCCTACACGCCTCTTTGCTGACGAAACTTCACTCACCTCGTGTGGTGTAAAGACCTCGATAAAAAAGAGAAAAAAATACAGTAGAACCTCCCGTAGGCAACCACCCATATTAAACTTAGTCTCTTATGGAAGGAGGTCGCTTACGAGAGTCAAACTGCAGGAGATCTTTCACAAGGAGAAGTCCGGACACATCTACTTTTAGGAGAGAATGAGTTGGGTGCATTTTCTAGGATATGATATATTTACTGTAAATCCGTTTTGTTTCTTAAAGTTCTTCTTTATACTCTGAGTAGCGTGGTAAATATTCAACGAATTTAAAGATTGGACCATTGTATCAGATGGTCCGGCTTAAAAGTGTCGCACAAGCCGCGAGAAAACTTTTGGTGTTTGGAAAAGTGGTTGCCAGTTACGAGAGGTGGTCGCACATGAAGGTTTGACTGTGACTGTACTTTCAAAGTTCATTTCCCTTTAGTTTGTTACCTTTAGTCATAAAACAGTTGACTGAATCGGAGGACTTTCCTTTGTTTTTCCCTATTAAGGAAGGGTTTTTGGTGAGAGCAACTGAAGGAGCATTTTATGTGACCTCGCTGAGACATGTTGAAGTGCCGTTAAAGAGAAGAAAATCATGGTGCATCTTATTCATTCAATCTAGGGTTCTTTCAAGGGTATTTGAGGGGTAGAAGCTTCCCTCCCCAAAATGCCCAGCTTCCCAACAAAAAATAGTTATCATTACAGTATATCCGAAAATCGTCCAGACGCGACGAGGTCAGTGAACACACTGTAACATTTCTCAAAATTGTGTCTCAAAATGCACTAGATTTTATCTCAGCGCATATTCTTTTCAAAAAGTTTCCGGGGGGACATGCCTCTCGACCCCCTTCGTGGCCTTTTGGCCACTCAGGACTTCTCCGCTAAACGATAAATCCTAGAAGAACCCTGGTTCAACCCACTGCCAATCTCAGCGTACGAGATAGAGCCCTCCTCGAGATACAATACTGTAAAATTAAATTGGTTATAGGCTCGATAGTATAAGCCCACTGGCTTTAGATGAAAGTGTTAAGCCTCCAATTAAAAGGTCATACCTCCCCCGCCTAAAACACTGGTTCGCCTCTTTCTTTGTGCTACTCTGCGAAAGCCCATTATTCGCCCTTTTGTCCCCTCTATAAGAAACTTGGGCCCGGTTCCTCGAAAGTTGGTTAAGTTTAATCCAGGAAAGCCAAATTCAAGCACGGTTTTCTCATCTAAGAACATGCATGCAACTAGAGATTACAAAATACTCTTGAGCCTTTTAAATACTACCGGAAAACACAAAATGTTGCCATAAGCAGTACATAGGAATATAAAATATAAACATGGAACAAAATTTTAATCCTGGATTAATGCTAATCGGCCTTTCAGGAATCGGACCCTGGTTCCAATATGCTAAAATGAGTAATGATCACTAAACAACTGCCAAAAAAACAACATGTTGAGTTCATTTAACACGTACTTTGCCTATAACTGAGGGGAAAATTCTTGCAGACTACCAAGTGGACAATAATATTAGAATATCATTCTAACAGATGCTCAACAAAAACTTGGAAGAATCTTCATAACACTGCCGCTTTAAATGGTGACAGCATAAAAAGGCTGGTTCGTTTAATCAAACATTGAATAGAACTACAATAACATACTGATTACACCCCTATGAATTAAGGAGCTGGGCACTTTCTGCACTAACATTAACTGAATACTAAGCAGCTATTTAAACCTGGTTTCAATAAACTTGATTTTCCCATTCCCTCAAAGGGGCAGTGTCATTCTCTAGAAAAACAAATGAAGTAAGAGCAAAAATTTTAGTTAATTAGCATTTCTAGTCCAGCGAAGCCATTCCTACAAGCTAGTACATATTTTCAGGTATGTAATGCTATCAATATAGGTACGTACAATCTTGAGAAAGGCAAACTGACACTTTCAAGTCCTAATGTTTGAGTAATTTTGTACTAACTTGATGCATGCAAGGCTGTGCTCTAACAAAAACAATCCAGGAAGAAAAATTTTCAAGCTGTGGAATCTAGGGTGACCAAAATTGTATTTGTTGCCCAACAGGAGAGACAGTGTAAGATGTGCCTTCCCATGCAGACGTTCTTAGGGGTTACTCACACAATTAAGGGAAAAAATAATGTTGACAGAACATAGGCTTAATTGAAAAAACATTCATTAGAGGTCATCCTGTCTGTGATCTAACAGCAATTCAGGCAGAAAATGACATAATAAGGACCCTGCCCCTTTAATTGTATGAGGTTGTAATGTTTTTGATCAGCATGCTGAAAATATCTTAGTCTGCTACACAGCTGTTTAGTGTTGACACATATCTCTCCTATGAATGAGTTTTGTATATATGAAAGAAGATCATTGCAGTCATAGATACAACTTCTGCAGTAGCACAAGGAAAACCTGATAAAAAAAAATTGGAACTTGAAATCTGAAGGAGATGTTTACACCCTTCCTACCCAGACACAGACAGTAGTATATCTGTAGTCAAAACATGGTGTCCGTTGTCAATAACCGAACACAAAATCAATGAAGGTGAACGTACATTATTTGCAAAAATTTCAGATAATTTCAATTTTCGGCTAAACTGTACCATAAAAACAACTTTAACAGTTAACTTTCATGGAGAGAGCTTACTGATTAGACTTTGTTCCTGTTCTTTTTATCACTGAGAAGGATTTTCTTTACTTAAGGAAAGACATAGCTAAAAATTTCTATTTTGCATTAATAGGACTGAAACAGAAGTTGAAAAAAAATCCTTGAGACAGATAAACTTGATGATTTTGTGTTGTTTTCGCATCCGTGTATCTGTTAAACCTTGGGGATGTAGTTGTAACTATCAGTTTCACTTGCTCGAAATAAAACGTCCAAAAGTTTTTGCCAGTAATGTACGCAACGTATTATGTGGAATACAAAACTCGTATAAATCATCAAAGAAAATTCCAAACAAACCCAATTATAAATCTTCTGAAAAAAGAAATAAAACACAGAGTTATGCAAAATCTCATTCAAGAACACTAATCATATTTAGCATCTAGCAAATTAAGTTAGCAGATGTAAATGTAATCTAAGTTAAGAACTTATAACAAAATGCAAAATAATATATTGCAATCCAGTTTGAATGCACTTATGATCACTTACAAGCTAAAACACATAAAGGCAACATTATTTTTTCTCAACAGCATAATTTCAAGCAGATGTCAACAAAATAAACGAAAATAAATGATTTATGTATGTTAAGTCTCTAGACTTGTGTGCGTGGTCACAAAAATGATGAAATAAATGATTAATCTATTTACGGCCTCTAACCTTAACGCAGGCAATATATTGCTCATTCGATAACGATGAATTTCTGTCCAAAATAAACTTTGTCATAAGTGGAAGCGCTTAAGTTATATTATCAAGCATTCTTTTTACACTTTATACAGTTTCTAGTGAAAAATAAGCAAATAGCGTAATAAACATACGTAGATTTCATTGTCAAACAAAATATGAAAAATATTTCCTAAAGGAAAGTCAGTAAACAAGGCCCATATTCAGCCATGCAAGGAAACCAGTCTAATGCTGTCTTGAAAATGACGACTGGGCGAATGGCCAAGTTGTTTTCGAACACTGATTTCTTCGATCACGCGATTCTTGAATAATTTGTCTCTTCATATTAAAGCCGTTTGATGAAGCTTGACAAAATCAAGTCTATTTCATGCACCATGCCGAGATGAAAAATATTTCATTCGGGTCTTTGTCGTGTGATATATTTAGTGATGCTGTTTCTTACATCAAATGCGCTCGCCCTCCGTGTATAACTTATGCAGGGCGTAATATCGAGCGATTTTTCCATGAATCGAGGGCTATTTCAGTACAGTCATACTCGAATGTTACCTCTGGGGCCGTAAAATCTTTGTTTCACTCTGAAATAAAACTTCTGCCATGCATATATGGTTTTGCTCGACCAAATCCAAAATCCAGATGTAATCCCCACGATTAAGAACATCAAGTATTTGACCATAAATACAGTGAAATCGGGTTTGACTTGAGCTATTGGGTAATCAGGACAGTTTTGCCCGTGACTTTCAATGCACCTTTGCTGATAAACCCAGCCCACTCTCCAAGACTCTTGCCATTCTTCACGATTTGATTGCTCGTAAAATAAACATCCTAGCACGGAAACGGCTGGTACGGTGTACAGTATGGAAAACACGCCGATTCGAATCATTAACTTCTCGATTTTTTCCCTCTTAGAGTAATCATCTTTTAAAACCGATCGCACTCGAAATAATGACACAAATCCCGCTATGAGGAACGTAGCGCCGACGAAAAAGTATACAAACAGGGGAGCGAGAACATAACCTCGAAGCGCGTTCAGATCTGAAAGCCCAACAAAGCAAACACCGCTAAGTTCGTCTCCATCAACTTTTGTCATCAGTAAGATCGCGATTGTTTTAACCGCAGGAATCGCCCAGGCTGCGAGATGAAAGAATTGTGCATTTGCCTCGATCGCTTCATGGCCCCACTTCAGTCCTGCTGCTAGGAACCAAGTGAGTGTTAAAATTACCCACCAAATTGACGAAGCCATGATAAAGAAATAAAGCAACATAAAAACCACAGTGCATCCTTCGTGTTTTGTTCCTTGCACGATGACTTTAGAGCCTGTTGATGATTTTGTACACGAGAGACTGTCGCCAGCGGCAAAACCGATGACAAAGGCAACAGAAACCATAAAGTAACACCCTGACAGAAAAATGATAGGCCTCTCTGGGTATCGAAATCTCCTCATGTCGATAAGAAATGTTAGAACTGTAAACAGTGTTGAAATGCAGCAAAAGATCGCCCATAATCCAGTCCAGAGGCGGGCAATTTTTCGTTCCCTCTCGTCGAAATAAATGTTTTCGCACATAGCTCCACATTTTTTCGCTCCAAAGAACGTATAATGATCAGTCTCGATTTTTTGATTGCCGGGACATTGAAACTTCACCGCACTAACGTCGAATGTGTATGGTTCAGTCGGCACCGACTCATTTTGCGGCGGTGTTGTCTCGTTAGGAGGCACAGGCCCTTTGCCATCACTTCGACCCGTTGTATTCTCGCCAACGCACATAGATGTCTGTGTCATTTTGGGATACTTTTCGCAGCTAAGGGACTCTGGCCACGTGAAGCCGAATTGTTCCATGAGACCTTCACAGCCGTTGCGGGCGCTCTCACAAAGCCCACGACAAGGGGGTACTGGCGTTTCCATAATCGTACAAATCGGAGCGTATACCGAACACAAGAAAAACGCTAAGTACTTGGAACATCCCACTTTTACAAGAGGGAAAAACTGATGAACTTCAAGGGCAGCTTCCTCCTGGGTTCTGTGCCTCAGCATGTTTGGGAATATTGTTTCGTTGTACTGTAGACCTGTGCAGAGAGGGATTGAAACTGGTTCGCACTTCTTTTGACACAAGCAAGGCAACAAACAAACGCTCAAGATCACCGCGGGAAGCAGTAATCCCGAGAAACATCTACCCCAAGCTTCTGTAATCATCTCGCTGCGTTCAGAGCGGCTGTAAGAATTCAACTCTCCTTTTCTTTCGAGGGAAACACAAAACCATTCAGCTCTGATCGGTCACAGTCTGCAAATGTTAGAATGAAATGAAGTGTCAACGAAATTAGCATAGTTTAGAACGCGCACTGTGATTGGCTACTGGTGATAGAAGATAATAATTGAAAAGTAAATCGAGCTGTGATTGGCCACAATATCATGACATTTCTAATTAAGAGTCAAACATCGTCTCGATGTTAAGGCCACCGGATATTCGATCACTTCCTTTGAAACGGTTGCGGGTGTACTTTTCACAATTGGAATTTACTCGGTAAAGCGGCTTTATTATAGTTAGCTTTTGAATATTCACTAATGCGCACTTTACACCAAACAGTGCATGATAAAGATCTTGTGTTTTCGACCTTTCAAAACCACTCTTCGCCAAAAATCAACAAAGCCTCCCCCTTGCTGTTCTCTTATTATCAACGAAGAGAAGAGCATCTGCACAAATGCGAGGCATGTTGACGTTTTTCGGCCAAGAAAATAGAATTTTTCATATTGTTCTCAGCGGGGAGTCGAGCATCAAAGTAGTAGTTCTGGGGGCTTACTTTTGATAAATTCCAAGTGTATGATAAACAAACCTTCTAAAACCTTGATAGAGGATCTTTTGTTGTAAGATAAACCAGACGGGAGATAACCGGTCTATTTGATAGTTTCGTGAAAAAGCTTTTTGTTGCGGGATATGAGGTTTTCCGAGGTATGGGCGTTCTTGAAATTCTTTAACGCACCGCTTTCTTTTGCTTTCTTTGTTCTTACATTTTATTTGTTTATTCTCGTGATTAACGAGGTGTTTGCCAAATATCCTTTTTATTGGCTTGCCTATGTCATTACGTGTTAAAAGGAGAATCAAACCTTAACAGAACGTGTGTCGAACAACCGCGATATTTGATAGGTACATTTGAATGATAATTTTTTTAATACTTTGGGTCAGAAAAACATTTGTATTCTGTTGTGAAATAATTCTAAGTTTATTCCCAATTCAGAGCTCAGACAAAGCGGCAACAACCTACGAAAAAATGAAAGAGCTACCCGCCAGTAAATATAACTTTATTTAAAAACTGAATTTTCTTCTCATGGCGTCACAAATTAAAGTTTACAGCACGACTTTAATTTATAGTTAGAGATTGACCTTTCAAAACTGTACTTTGGGCACTGGCGTTTTCTTATATTCATTAATCTTGCAATGGTACTTGGGCCCAGCACAACAGTAACTCGGAAGAAGGGAGACGGAATTCTTGAGACTGATTAGCTGAAAATAGGACTTTTGGTCGGCCGTGTAACGAGTTTTATAGCCTGCGAGCAAGCTCTTCCTATTTGGGCCTCGGCCCCTCGCTCGCGCGTTCTCGCGAGGCTTGCTTCTAATAGATTGACCATCCGACTTAAGTACAACGTACATTAAATAATGGCGAATGACTCAAGCAATTACCCTTTGTCGGTTTTTCGTCATCATCCATCTCAACATCATCCTCATCTTCATCTTCATAGTCAGAGTTATAACTACTTCCACTACCACTCCACTCGCTCGCACAAATACAAATTGACAAGCTATAAGAAAAGGAAATGTCCCCAAGGGGCAGTCACAAATTGCCAGCAATGCGAGGGACCGACAATGAATCTGCTTTAATTTCGATCTCCTCTCTTTGTAGCTTAAGGGTGGCGATAATTTTGAGTTCAACAGACTGAAAAAAAGCAAAGCGGAAAAGCCTGGAGCAAATTTTTCAATCTGTTCTGCAGGTTTCTCGCGGTACTCATTTTCAATAACCATCGGAAATATAACTGTTGTCTTTTGAAGCTCCTTATAGTAGAGGCAGTAAAAAATAAGTAATATAAGCTAAATTCAAAAAAGTTAAAAATAAAAATAGAAAGCTGTAAAACGTAATGTAGTTATATAAAATAATGAGCAATGAGGCTAAAAATATAACTGAAGTACCTATGGACGATGCTAGATGCTTTTTTTTTCAGTTTGGCAGGCTAGAAACTCCAAAAACAGTAAAATTATAAATTAGTTATTTTATTTCATTATCTCTTGTATATTTTGTGTGGTTAATAAATCATTTAAAAAAAACACAACACATATGGAACAAGATTCCTTTAGAGGATTCTCAATTTTTATGCACAGTAGCTTCAAGTTAATCGAACTCTGCCGGTTGCCCTCTTAAACTCCGCACGCACAAACTCTCACAGGGACGAACAAAATAAGCAATAATTAACTGGAAAGCTTTCATCTCATAAATCGACTGAACTCAGTCAAGAGAGGATAAAACTCCTGACTCAGTCAGGGGAGATTATACTGAATCAGTCATAACTGCTCTATTTCCCTTCTTTAAATCCCATTTTCGTTCTAGTCCCTCACAAGGAATCAATCAGTCAAAATATGATTTCAGCAGTTTTAGATTTTATGACTCCTTCAATCCTCAGCTTAAAAAGCCTAAATTCTTAAGGTTGAGGATTTAGCTTATTTCTTCTTTGTTATCAAAATTAAAAAGAGCAGTTTAATACAAAAAGTAATTTGTAATGTCGCGTGCCTAGCCCGAGGCTACGCTGTTCGCCGGTTCAAACTGAAGCACAATATACCTGCTTACTTAATGATATAAGTTGATTGGCTTCGGTCAAAGGCCTGGAATTAAAATAATAAAATTAACTAAACGGATTTCGGTACCTTTTAAAAGCATTTTTACTCTTTCTGTTAGTGAAAAGCCAAAGTGCCGCCGCTACCGAGTTGTGTTGGACTCGGTGAAGTGATCAGATACTTTATCAGCTCCCTATGGGCTAATTGTTTCAGCAACTTCTTGATAAAGAAGAGTCTTAGAGCAGTTTAACAGCAGCTTATTTGCTTGAGTTGTAGGGAAGGAATTAAGAGAGATTTTGCTGTTGTAATAGAATTAAATAAATGGATAATCATTTTCATCCGCTCAAGTATCGCTACCCCACGCGTGCTTCTTTGGCGGTTTTGATTTCTTTGTGGAAAGTCGCAGTCTTGATGGAGTTTAAATTTACGTCCAGCGAAGTTGTACGCGATCACGATGCGATAGACCTAGTTTTATTCCAGCCTCGTTCCCGGTCGTCCTCGGCGATTTCGGATGTGACGTCACCTGAGCCGAGTAAGGCGTCGAGCTGTCTTGTCGATCGATGTGTGTGGGGTGGGGGGGGGGGGGGTATCTTGTAAATCAGTGGGTATGGGACAAGGTTAAGGCCTGAGTTTAACAGTCTGGCTGCCGAGAAATTAACGATATTTTTATCATCCGTAATTAAGTGACTGTCGAGAGAATGGGATGTGTCATCGCTCTGCTGAAGTTCTGTCCGAGACAGCGGGTACATGTCTTGCGGCAAAGTCTGAATTACTATGTGGCCAATCAGCTTTTCTGATTTGTTTATCATCTTCTGAAAAGCCAGCTGCTAGTCGACAGAGACAAACAGAGAAAACAGTAATAGAGCCTAGCCTAGGGGCTGATAAAAAGCGGCGCTGCCTTGAAAAAGCGATAAACGTGCACCACTTTTGCTCTTTATGAATTAGTTTTGTGTCATGGCATCAAATTCGATGACATACCGTAAAATTCCGAAAATAAGCCCCTCCATGTATAAGCCCCTCCAAATATAAGCCCCCCAAACCGGTAACGCAAAAAACCCTCCGTTAAATCGCCCCTCCAAATATAAGCCCCCGGGGGCTTATCCTTGGAAAATTGCCCTCAAACACAAAGTAAAACAAAGCAAAAACGGTAAATCTACTTCCAGCTATAAGGCTAGCCCAATCGATTTTGAAACTCAAATTTCCCTCCATAGATATAAGCCCCTCCGAATACAAGCCCCTCCAAAAATAAGCTCCTCAAAAAGGGCCTTTGAAAAATATAAGCCCCGGGGCCGTATTTTCGGAATTTTACGGTATTTCATTTGATCCTCTCTGGATGAGTCATTTTAGAGTATATCGCCTCTAAAACTGTAGCCTGTTCACAGACCCTCTATTTTCTCTTCAAAGTCCGTCGAGCGCGCGTGATGAAAAACAAAAACCGCGGGGGAGTTTATTGACCGCCAGCACAAAGGGGTTGTGGTGGGGGAATGTTTTGGAAAAGAACGAAAAGAAAAATAATACAACGTCTGTGTACAGGCTACTCAGACTGGCGTTTTGTTGTGTGTAGATACAACGGATGTGGCTCCTGGAGTGGTTATTAGGCGGGATTCTGCAAACGCCGAGTAATAAAATAACAATAAATACTATTTTCTCGAGAAAGTAATTTGCGATAAATCTTTTGTGAAAACCGTTCTTTGACATTGGATTTCTAAAATTTGTCTCCTGCACTAATGAATAATATCTATTAACCAAATACTCCCTTTTTTGAAACAGACTCTTGATAAAGATTTAGATTTCGTCGCGTTCCACCTGTAAAATAGGTACGGCACCGAACAGGTGGAAGTTTCGCGGCGTTTCTTTAATTAAAGAAGGGACTTCTAGCGGCCACGAATACAAGAACAGTGGGGCACACCACCACACTGGGGGCCATGAAACCCCTGATCAATTTAGCCAGAAAGACATTTTAAAGACAAACCTGCAATGTATAATTAAAGGCCGCGGTGATCATTTTTTCTAGTGAGTACTGTTTCCATGGTGTTTCTTTGACATACAGTCGCTGAGACATTTGCCCAAGGGGTCCTCAAATTCCTTAGTCCCAACAAAATGGACACTATCAGTTACTGTGCAAAACAATTTCGTAGAAAAAGTATACTTTGAAAAGGGTTTTTCACCTTATAAAGAAAACGTTTAACTCCCTAGAGACCACTCTCGTTCCCAGATTCTCTCTTCCTCCAGTTGCCTTAACTGGGAGTGAGATTGAGTGACTAAAATGAATTTTCTCCTAACATTCAGTGTCAATACACAATCAATAATAAATGTTCTAAGAACTGTGTAAGCAAATGGTCAATAAAGGGTTAATGGTTTGATTTTCCGTCAAATTCTCACAACTTCATATCTAAGGTGATAGAAGGAAATCAGTTTGGAAAGTAATCGGCTCCTGGGTTGGAGAATTTGTATTTGGATATTGGGCCTTAGTAAATGGTTACAAAGCCCTCGTCAGAGCAATACAGCGTACAATTCTGCTGTCTTCAGTTTTTCAGGTAAGGGACGGAAAGTCAGGGAATCCCAGAAACGAATACCCATTAGATTCCCTGTAATGAACAGTAAATTTTGTGATACACAGATACACAATTTAATGACAAGCGAGTCGCGCTGCGGTAGGAAATGAAATCACCACATCCAAAACCGAAGGCCATTTTCACAGTCGGCGCTCTTGGTGGCTCGGTCAAGGTAAAGGTACCTAAGGTCAAGGTCAAGGTTAGGTTTAAGGTCAAGGTCAAGGTACCTAACTGTAAAATCCAAAACTAAACAAAAAATCAAAGCAAACAAGCAAAAACTATAGTGAGCAGGAACCAATAGCGAGAGATTCCTTAAGACAAGTGCCTCCCCCCCCCCCCCTCTAGATCCCAAGGCCTATGTAGATTGTTCTAGTGGTCTTAGTAAACTGCAGAAAAGTAGGACCGGAACCCCCTTGCTCAAAATAGAAAATAGTTGTTACTGAATCTAAAAAGTTGATCTAAAAATGTTTTTAAAGTATAGATACCGATTTCGTGAAAACTAGTAAGGGATGACAACTTGGAGTTGTTCGTTTTTTCTGATTTGGCATGAAAGCAGGGCCAATATCCTGTCCCTCATGCGCGTACCCAAACCGTAGCCTGCGAACAGCAGACGCATTTCCGGTCGTCGCTTCTCTCCCTTCCTAAAATAGCTATTTTCGGAGGGAGAGAAGCGACGACCGGAATAGACTGTTCACAGTCCTCTATTTTTCCGTAAGATCATCGAGATCGAGCGCTTTCTGTTACGGGCTGCCAACTTGCATAAGTGTTAAAACTACCCACCTCCCAAATCTATAATCCCCGACGCCAGCCCTCTCGGTACATTTGAAAATCAAGATACCCGTGACGGTAAGACGTGGTATATCTAAACGATCTCACGAAAAAATAGGGGACTGTGAACAGTCTACGACCGGAAATGCGTCTGCTGTTCGCAGGATAATAAAACCGCTATAAAAACAAGAACAACGAACCCACTGATCTGCTGTTTTTCTACGACTGGAAGTCAAAGGTTAATCGTTTCGTTCTGATTTTCTGCTGTAATCTTTTAGGCGATATTCCCCCCCTCCCCAATATTTGTGTTTCTGCTTTACCTTACCCTCCGATGAGGTAAATGAAAAAAGAAATGATAATGGCTTTACTGTACAAAAGGCAGCGATTGGTGGACAACAGATGAGTGGGTGGACATGAAATTGGCGCGAAGTGGACAGTGGACAGTATATGATATATCGGTCTCTCATTCCCGTGGAGGTGCACTGTGGGTAGCTTTTATTGTAATGGCGAATTAATTTGTTTTGTAAGTGGTGGTGCGAATTGACTTTCAATCTTCTGTTATTTTTTGTATTTAACAATAGAGAGTTATTGCGTGCAAAATTGCCAGGAATACTTATGGAAACTGCTCCTTGAATGGGACACGTCAGGACAATCTCCGGGGTTTTCGCTGCTTGATCGGTAAACATTGGGAGTAATAGATCATCAACAGAGCGCTGTTTTCGTCCGACTGGATTTGAACTTGCCACGGTTAAATTAGCCTAAAATGGCGTCTGCTGGAGATGATAATGAAATATGCGAGGAAGACGAAGACACAGCTAATAATGCCGCCAAAGTATCATCTAACAACGAAGGTTCGTGTTTATAACGCAATCGATCTTCGACAGGTTTTGTTTATATTTTATAATTTTGCCTTCTTTACCACCTTCAATTTTGATTTTTAATCTTCTCAATGCAGATTTTAACATGCAATTGCTTGCTTTAACTAGGAATGAGGAGGTCTTCTTCAGATTCGAAAATCAAGAAATTACGGAGAAAAATATCACAGGGACTTAGGTTATGTGAGTAATATTGAGCTGCAATAGCAGTGTCGTGTTCATTATGGTTAATAAATATTCGTATTTCAGCTTCGCGCTTCGAGTCCACAGAAGTCCTTGAAGAATTAATTGTTAATTGCCTTTAATAATCCTCTCTTTAGAATTGTGACAATTAATGCTTGGCTCGAAATAGTAGTGCCATTATTAAACAAGTTCTAAAGCTTTTTTTTTAAGGTTATATTATATATGATGCTTAGATTAAACTTGCGATATCAGCTGTGGTGATCGGTGATATTATCGATGTATTGAAGAAAGATCTGCTTTGTCCCCAGTCCTCTATTGCATGTTTCAGAACATGGTTAAAGTTGGGGGGGGGGGGAGGAGGGAAGGGGCATAGGAAAGATCCTGATTTTGACATCTGTTCTGATATTTTCAAATGAATTCTTATGACACTCATACAAGAAAACCTAACAAAGTACATTTAACTGAAATTGATTTCCAGAAAGCTTTAAAAAAACTGCACAAAATATAAAATAAAATCAAGTGCTCATAATCAAAGCCACACAAATAAGAAAATACAATGTAAGCTAAAAAATGACAATCGATAGAGAACAATTTTTAAACAGAAATTGTCATCTCAGAACACTAGACATGACCTCTTAGAGCATCATGATTTCATGACGTTTAGAAGACAAGGATGACCAGGCCCCGGTTGTTCAAACGTTGGATAGCGCTATCCACCAGGCCCCGGTTGCTCAAAAGTTGGATAGCGCTATCCACCGGGGAAATCACTATCCAGCGAATAACGCAATCGGTTCCCGTAATACTTATCCGCTGGATAGTGAATTTATCCGGTGGATAGCGCTATCCAGCTTTTGAACAACTGAGGCCAGATAAATCACTATCCAGCAGATAAGTATTACAGAAATCAATTACGCTATCTGCTGGATAGAGCTTTATCTGGTGGATAGCTCTATCCAACGTTTGGACAACCGGGACCAGGAGGACAAGATTTTCTCAATACTAAGTAAGGCATGTGCATGATTCACCAGCATCATTACTGGAATTTTATTTGGTTAAAATTAACAAAACCAAGCACAGAATCATTTTCTTGTGTGTAATGGACCTTGGACAAATTGATTTGACCTTTTGCTTGGAAGAAACAATTCTGCTTGCAAACCACATTTTCTTCCTTCACAACGTTGAAATTTGATCTACTTTAAAAATGGTAAGCCATTTTTATGTTAAAAGAAGCTTGTCACTCTCCTGACACATTGCACTACAACTGGAATTCCAAAACAACTTTCCTTTTTAATGAAATTAACAGTTAACCTAAGAAAAACTGGATAAAATAGTTACCTTTGACCTTCCTAAAAATACTGGAATTTGGGTGAAGCCCCTTAACTTCACCCCTCTGCAGTCCCGCCCCCCTCCTGGGATATTAATGGAGTCATCCCGCCCCTCTCCTTGGGCTTGGGAAGGACTCTTATGGTCTGTACTTATTCTTGTAGCTTTTATTAAAGACGAAAATGATGTATCCAATATCTCTGAGGAAAGTCAAATCGAGGTTAGTACCAGGTTCTTTATATGTTATTAAAATAAGTTTATTGTTATTTAACACAAGACTCATGTGCTTTAAGAAGAATTTATTTTGCTTAAATGGATACCCTGCAGGGTTCTCAATAGAAGGCGGCACCCGGCGATTGATCGCCGCTTACTTTGGGATTTATAGCCGCTTACTTTGTGTTTAAGTCGCTTTTCTTTGCTTTGTTTTGACACCTCTGGCTTTGCTGAAGAGCCTCCTACTTTATCAGTGATCACCTCGTACTTAAAAATCTATTGAGAACTCTGACCCTGTGAACAGTGCCTAGATTATACTTTTACTGTACTTCTACTTAATTATACTGGCATGAAAAAAGTATCCTCTTCCGACAATCTTTCCATTTTCAACTGAGCATGTGCAAGTTTCCTCACATGATTCCCAAGTAAAATTACACTTGTTATGGTGTATTTTCATGAAGCACCCACTCTGGAACTGGAACTTTTGGCATACATAGCTGGACAGTATGATAAATCACTCATACAAGAAAACTCATAAGAAGCGCATGTACGTAACAAAGGTATTTATCATTACTGTTGTTTGTTTTCATGCATACAGAATGATGTTTTTGATAGCAACTCCAACCCATCTCTGACATCAAGCAAGCTGGCAGCCAGACCGGCTGTCAGGCGCTCTGCATCTGATTCAATAGGAGCGCGGCTTAGAAAGATCAGCTTTGAGATTGGCAATGGAAGGAGACATTCAGATGATCTGTCACCCGATGAACTGAAAAGTATTCCTCAGGTTTGTTTTAAGATTTATTAGTCATTTGACTTCCCAGGGTTCTCTCAAAAAACTGTCAGAGTACTCTGATTCAGCAACAGAATGGGAAAGTCAGTTGACAATGGAAATAAAAGCACATGGATGGAAGTGTAAACGCAACTTCTGGCACCTAATTAATCACTCTGCCATTGACTGCCCACAACATAAACAGCTTTGGGTGATTACCATTAAAATCCTTGTTCTAAAACAGCTCCAAAATCCTTGTTCTGCTTTCCTGTGAACCGGGATTTGAGTTAACATGCCATGTTTGGCCTGTTTAAAAAGCTTATTGTCAGTGCGCCAATCAGGTTGAAAGGAAATTCGAAACACACATCTGGTAATTTCGTTGGGTCTGTTAGGTACCCATAACAAAAAAAGGTATTGACGCTGCTTTATACTGCTGCTATAACTCAGTGGTTAGAATACATCTGTGACGCAGGCTATGGATCATCGGACCTTGATCTTTGGCCATGCATTCCATAAAAATTTAGTTAAAACTTTGCTGTGAAAGCCAGCTTGGATTTTTTCTCAGTAGATCAAAAGTGCAGTTTTACTGACAAAGTTTTGAATAGTTTGAGGTCGTTTCTATGATCAATGTAGCTAGCTAGACAATATTAAACTGTGTTTTCTAAACACTAAATCAACCCTCCAAGTTGCGAGCATTGTAGTCGCCACGGCGCCTAAAATTTTGAAGCTGGTGACTTGATTTGTAAAAAAGTCTCCCTAAACCAAAAGAATATGTCGCCAAATGGCGATCAAGCAAAAACTTTAACTTGGAGGGTTGGAAATAGAGACTGAATGGTCGTAAAAGTTTTGTGGAAACTCTTGTGCGTGAGAGAGAGAGAGGTAGAAAAAATGTTTTATCTTGTTTTGCTTCATTTTCATTGTCTATATACTTTTATAGGCATTAGTTCTTTTGAAAGCCAAGGAGCCAAGCCATGCAATACAACAGTATGCATGCTGCACTGTCTTTAGTGCCTTTTGCAATATTTTGGGAAGAATTTGCATTAAAAACCAGTGTTATCACATTTTATGGCATCAGATATTTTTGTGGTCAACATTTTCAAGTACCTGGATGGTTATCAGTTAAAGATATAAAGTTGTTGTTGAAAGGAAAAGAATTTCCAAGTTATTTTCCTAAATGGGCTATGTGGGTTATATGAAAATATATGATGTGTGAATGCTATTTTTAACTTTAATACTGGTACAATAATTAATAATAAACATATTGGTCATTAATATTCTCAGTGAAATAAATTGTTACAACTGTTAATTATGTAATGTATGATATTCTAGAATGTTATTTAATATTCGTTATGTCAGTGTGGGATTTCTTCTTGTTAAATATTTATTTATGTTTGAACTGATAAGTGTAAAAAACAAGGCTAGTTTGATCTCAGTAGTGCTCTGTTTGAAACATTAGTCTTGGGGCCATGTGCATGTTGAATTTTTCTTTTTCTTGTGTACAGAATAATTCTTTTTTATATGGACATGTGGTTAAATCTGTTTTTAGCGTCTTTTCTGAGGGACGACAGTACTAAAAAACTCTTGTGATAAATTTAAATTTATGAGTAAATAACAAATTAAATCAAATGAAAAAAAAGTTGAAGGAGTGATGAAACCATCACATTGCAGGAACTCCACAAAATCATCAATACTGTAAGAAAAGTTAACACTTATTTATAATGGATTTATTGTACTCTTAGGTGTGTATAACAGTAATACAAGATCTGTAGCCATTTCTAAAGACAGTCACTTTGCTTTGATGCTATTGATTTCGAGATATCTGCATTTATATAACTTATTTCTCACTAAAAGATTGTGGTATTCTTATCACAATATTCCATGCAAAAAAAAAAAAATTTACCCTCTTCACAATCAGTTTCATTGACCAAGATGTCAATTCTAGAGAATTATATTGTCAATATTATGTAGCTTTGGTGTTTCATCTTACTTAGTTCTTGTGCATGATTTATACCTATGTTTCTGATGCGTCAAAGAAATGTAACTAAGATGGTAAGTTCCAGATTATTTCCAGATGTTATCCTTGAATCTTTTCCTTTATCTTAAGTTCAACGCCAGGCCAGACAGCTGCAAGACTATATGCTTCAGTTTAGCACTTTGTATGCATATGTGAAGAATGCTTTACTAATAAGGCACTAAACCAGTCTTTCTTTTCTTTCTTTAATTCAGTGGATCGGAATCACAAAAGAAAGAACTAGACATAGTACTTATTTATAAAACAACTATAACATATATATCTAGGAAGCAATGTTACAACATGCATGTACTATTTAAGTGATTATATAATCGCTTCAGTCAGGTTGAAAGCTTTTACTAGTTTTCAATTTTTTATTTAGATTTTGAGTTTAAAATTTTGCTTGTAGGTGAAATTTACTGGAAAGATAAATCTATACGTTTATGTAAATTCCTTGTTGACATGCAAAACTATGGTGGGAACTCCATGTAACAACTTTTATATAGACAGTATATTTATTGAAATGTGTAATAAGCAAAGAGTCGGAAATGAAGTATGAAATTAGGAGGGTTTTCTCACAGGTAGTTTTATTTTTTGAAACACTGGAGCCAGATTAAAAAAACTCTGATAACTATATAATTTAATTTCTGAATGCTGGCTCTTGGTAGTAGATCGAGTGTTTATATCATTCAGTAGCTAGTTTAGGCAGGCCGCTCTTTTATTAAGAATAACAGAGTGGTGGAGGGTACTAAAATCTGGGGTATTAGAAATCTAGGAGGCGTGTGTGGCCGAGCCCCCGGTGTTGGTCGTGTGCACCTTTAGCTAACTTTTTAGAAAAAAAACTTTTTTCAAATTTTTTTAGGAATCTTAGGCATGAAAGTATAGAAAAGTTTAGGAATCTTTGATATCCAATCCCAAAATGTGGCAAACCTCATGATCAGTAATAATTGTAAACACTTTTAGAAAACACAAGAATAAGACACATTCTGTCTTGCACAAACACATCATGTATTGCATCCCTCTCCTACCACCCCAGGTATGAAAAGCACCCCTTTTCTCTGGAAGAGGGGTATATTTACTTCACTTTGATTTTATCCCCATGGATGCCTGATTTTTCTGGATCAAATTTAGGTGCGAAACTTCACTCCCTCTTTAATCTATGCCTGAGCCCTCCACAGCTGCAACAGGATTCCTATTTTTTAAATCACTGTCCAGAACAGTTGCAGAAACTCAAAATCACACCCCCAGAGTAAATTAAAGGGAGTAGTACATGTACCCCCTTGTGTCTACTGTGCTTCCAAAGGAAAAGCTAATCCACCAATCTCCTCCTAGTTGTAAAGCCCTGTGCAAACAAAGGCAACATTGTTGGCCAACATTTACCAACATTGTTAAATGTCACATTTTGCGTCTGTTTGCACATCCTGTTGGATGTTGTTGTATGTCGTTGGGAGTTGTTATGCAAAGTTTGAAACTGGTCAAACGTTTGAGCCAACAACTTCCAGCATTTCTTTTGTTCCGTGATCACCAAAGCATAGCACTACAATCTTGTATCCATTTGTACAGCTTTCGCAGCATTGTGTCTGCCACACATGCGCATTACAAATGGTTTTCAAAGTCTTATGGGTTGTGTCTTTCCCATGATGCACTGCAGCTCTTAACATTGTTACTCAGGACTACCAGCATGGACAGATCAGTGTTGGAAGTTGTTGCGTCCGCTTGCACATAGCTTAACAAATGTAAATGTAATTGTTTCTATAATGACCAAGTGACATTGATCGTTTGCAGCCCCTGTCCCCTCCATTTGGTTGTCTTGATGCTTATCAGAAGCTGGAGCAGCTTGGAGAGGGTTCATATGCAACCGTGTTCAAAGGAGTCTGCAGGTAATGCTACTGCATCAAGCAGTTGTCAATACTCACCTCAATTAGTACATGAAATTTTGGGGACAATCTAATTTTGCAGATTTTGCACTTTTTTTTTTTAAATGGTAATATTAAAATGATGCGAACATAGCATAATGCGAAAATTAAGTGAAACGATGAGAGAAAGAGAGAATTACATTAGTGTTGTAACTGGGAGTAGAGTACTACTTCCTGTTGTTCCTTTTCAAGACATAACATAAATAACTTGTGAGGCTTTTTTATAGGAAAATCTTGGACAGTACCGCCGGTGCATCATCTGTTAGCTTTGACAATAATGCCGATGAATTTGCTTTATTTTATTAAATAAGAAGTTGAATTAAAAGTGTCTTGCTAAAAAACACGAAATGAAAGTGACTCTTAATCCAAAGTTTTTGCAAAATCACAAAATTTAAGTGTTGCAAAAATTAATATGCGAACCATCAAAATATTGCTTAATTACTGTGTCGTGATTTCATGTAATATTAAGCTATTTCAAAGAAATTCAGGAGGGGTCACTTTCAGAGGGGAAAGACTAGGCCCCATTGAAGAGAGCTGGGCACTCAAAGGACTATTTGGTAGTTGTGCCTTTGAACTTGTTGCTTGCACTTTAGTTTTCTCATGTCTGATTGGCTTTTCCTTGCAAAGCACTGATAACATTCCAGAAATATTTCTGTTACAAGTTCATGGTCTTCTGAGTTTCGTGATACTATGGAAGACAAGATTTACAAGATAATATACTGTATATTTTTATTTCACCTTAGTGCAAATAATAAGATTGTGGCCTTAAAGGAGATCAGGTTGCAAGAAGAAGAAGGAGCACCATTTACCGCCATCAGAGAAGGTAACAGTTATGGAAGATTTTTTTGCACTTATTTGGCCATGCACTTGTAAGCTTTAAGTTATAGTTATTGAATTGTCAGTTTGGATGTGGATGAAAGCTGACAAGTTGGTTCCTTTTTGAGTCTGTGGGTGGAATCCTAAAGTGTGTCCATTCAAATGAAAGCTACTCAACATTACTTTCCTGTGGTACTGTTTACTATGCAGTGAAAGTGGTGGTAACTTTTGAGTCTGTGGATGAAATCCTATGATGTGAGCATTCGGATGAAAGCTACAGAGCAGTGTTTTTCTGTGGTACTGTTTATTATGCTGTACATTAAGGTAGTTGTAACTTTTGATTCTGTGGATGAAATCCTATGATGTGAGCATTCAGATGAAAGCTACAGAGTACTCTGTAGCCTTAATTATTCATGAATTAGGGCTAGGAGACAAAGGAAATTGAGAATCAACTGGGTTAAAAGATATTAAACCTGGATATAATTTTGACCTGTAACATAGCCAATCATCTGTATCCAGTTGCATGATTATCACATATACTCTCATTTTTTTTCCAGCCTCTTTGCTCAAACAGCTGAAGCATGCCAATATTGTGACACTACATGACATCATTCATACCAAGGATACACTCATGTTTGTCTTTGAGTTTGTGGTGAGTAAATAATGTAAAAGAGTGTCCCATCTCAGCGAGGGTTGACTGAGTTTACAGTGTCAAACCACTGCTTACTACACAATAATATTGCAAAACTACTCTCAACTTATGTCAAGAGTGTTAAGTGGACACGTTTCTAGGGGTCAATACCTACTAAGAGGTTAGCCTGCGAGCAAGCTCTCCGGGGCACTCTGGTGGTGGGAAGGGAAAAGGAAGGAGAGCTTACAACTACGTCTCTGGAATTTGAATATCTGCATTGAAAAAGTTGATGCAAAATGCTGATTGGTGGAGATGACATTAGAAATGGTTGTATTACCCTTGGCACATGTTTTTCAATGTTTGTTTACATTCGCCCTCGTTTCCGCTTCACGCTGATTAGCGGAAATGTGACAGCTCAGTTGACGCAGCGGACAGGGGAATTGGAGGTGGAATTCAAATTCCAGAGACGTAGTTGCAAGGTTTTAAGCTCTGCTTCCTTTTCCCGCCTCACCATTAGAGCGCCCCAGAGAGCTTGCTCGCCGGCTACTATGGGGTAGGAAACTAGTCATCTGAAACAAAGCACTGATCAGCAAGATCAATGTCCTTTGTAAATTTATATTTGTATTTCCTAAGCTCTCTCACATATTTCATTGCAGGACACAGATCTAAATATCTACCTTGAAAAGTTTCCGAGAGGTATTCCGTCATACAATGTAAAGGTTTGTTCAGAGATTTTTGCCTTAAAGAAGTTTGGCAGGGGCGGATCCAGGATTTTTCTTAGGAGGGGGTGCAGCACTAAGGGATGGCGTAACTGATCGATGACGTAAACAAATTTTAAAAGCGAATATGAAGAAGAAGGCTTTTGACTAGGCAATAACATAATGTGAGCTGCTGAGAATACATATCAAACGATACAGCAAATTTTGTATTAGCTGTGAAGCGACTGCACAGTGTTAATTAGAAAGCTGCAAGCCATCTCAGGGGGGGTGCGCACCCCCTGCACCCTCCCCCTAGATCCGCCCCTGTTTGGTTGCTAATGGTGTAATCTGCCATTTGCCATTTTGCACATAGTCCAAGGTATATTTGAAAATACATGTCTGGTTGATGTATATTTTCTGTAATAATTAATTAGCCTTGTTTAGCCAGGGCTGTTACTATTAAGATACTGTTTGTAACTTAATAATCTAAGGACAAATTAAAATAATTGCCTTGGAAAACAGTGATTTTTTTGGGGTACATTAATATGCGTCATAATTGTTTTTGTTAATATTGAAAGTACCTTTGGCCCACAGCAAGAAAAATCTACCGTGTCAGTCGTTCATGACAGCTCTTTCATAAATAGAGCAAATGAAAATAAAATGGCTTAAATACTCAATGCAAGCCAAAGAATTTGCGTGGTTATTCTTTATTTGTATTTCTAGCTGTTTTTGTTCCAACTTTTAAGAGGACTGGACTACATTCATGAACGGAAAATTCTTCATAGGTAAGTACTGGTGATAAAAGACTGTTCTAGAATATATGGTTCAAAATCTATCAGAACTAAGGTAACTATATTAAAACCAGTATAAAGCTAGACAGAGTTAATATACATACAGTCTATATTAACTAAACATGACAGTATTTGATACACATGCAATTTTTGTATTTAAGACGTCATTATGTGCTTCTGTGTTTATAGGGACTTAAAGCCTCAGAACTTGTTAATAAATGAAGTGGGAGAATTAAAACTGGCTGATTTTGGTTAGTGACATCATTATTTCACTTTGCCCCCATGACCCTTTGCACCCTTCCCTCCCTTGCAATGATTTCCCCCACCCCACCCCATCATTATGATCACTTTGCATTTCTCTTGTTTTCTAGAGATATTAGGGAGTTTAAGATACTGTGCCACGACGGCGACAGCGGCAAAAACATCGCTTAAAAAGTGACTCCTCCATCTATGAAACTTTAGCGCGATTATCCCAACTCGGTCACTATGCTTTATGTAAGCGAACTCTCCCACAGTTGAATTCTTAAGAAAAATATCCGGGTATACAAAGAGTAAGAGAGATTCGTCGTCGTATGGTCACGTGCACGTGGTCGATAAAACGTGAAATTAGGCAATTCACGTCGTGTTTTGCTAATCTTAACCAATTGCTTTTTCATGTTCTCGTTGCCGTCGCCGTAGGGGCATCTTAAACTCGCTATTTGTTTGTCTATGTCTAACCGAGGTTGATTGTTTCTAGGTTTAGCCCGTGCTAAATCCGTTCCTAGCCATACGTACTCTCATGAAGTCGTTACACTTTGGTAAGTAAAAAAATGTTTTCAGCTTGAAAAGCTTCTGTAATTTTGAACAATTTTATTTTTTGCGGTGTTAAAATTATTGTTTAATAAAATTAATTCTTCATATTTTATTCGCTGGGAACCTTGACAGGTATCGACCTCCAGATGTTCTTCTAGGATCAAAAGATTACACGACATCATTAGATATTTGGTAAGATATGAATGCACTTAACCTTGGACCGACTTAGTTAACCATTTCCTTTTCTAAAGGGATCCAAGTCACAAGGCAACAAAATTATCAAATTTAGTCCATAGTCTCTGTGAAAACGATACGAATTTTGAATTGCTCACAGACAAGGGGTGTTTACTTTTTCACAAACCATCCGAGTGGAAATCTTGTGCATTAACAAAAAAACGCGTAAAATTTAACGTAATGGGAGAATAACCCGCTACAACGGGCTACAAAGTATGTCCAAATCAGTTGAACAGACTAAAAAGAACGGAAAAATTGCATCGCCTTAAATCACAGCCCATATTTTCCGAAGCTTTCCAAACGCAGCCTGTACATAGACGTTGTTTTATTTTTCTTTTCGTTCCTTTCGGTAATATCGGCGCGCGCGCGAGAAAGAAAAAAGTTTCAGTTGATTCCGTCTATTTTCTTCTTCCCCCACCTCTACCCTCTGCGCTGGCGGTCAACAAATCCTCCACGGTTTTTATTTTTATCACGCCCGCTCGACGGACTTTGAAGAGAAATTAGAGGGTCTCTGAACAGGCCATTCCAAAGGGAATGACGTGAACACTTGATTTTCTTACCAGAATTTCCAGTTTAACCATGTCAATGGTTAGTACCCAGGTTCTCTCGTTTTCACCACTAAATCACTCTATTTTCATTGTTCAGGGGTGCCGGTTGTATTTTTGTGGAAATGGTAACAGGAATTGCTCTGTTTCCTGGAATGAGAGATTCCGTTGATCAACTCAACAAGATATGGCAGGTAGGAGTTACTTCAGTTACCATGGTTACACTCGACACGGAGGGTTATGTCGTATGTCACCTTGTAAGTTAGTTATGAGGTCTAAATTCATTATCACCTAACCTGTCAATCACCTAGCAGTCGTTTCCCTTAACCCTTTAAACACTAAGATCAAAATTCGAGTTCTCATTTGCTGCACCTATTCATTTCCTACAGAAGTAGAGGGGAGAAGTTGATAAAATATCAAGCCAATTCATCTTGTGTGATCATGTCTGTAATTCTCATGACCACTCTGTTTTACAAAGCATTGATATTACAAAGAGAAATTTGATGTTGATCACTCTTAGGGCTTAAAGGGTTAAGCCAAGCGGGGAAAGCACGAAATAGGCGCAAGGGCAATGGACAACAAGGAGCAAACTTGCGGGGAAGAGGGGGGGGGGGGGAGAAGGGTGGGTAAGGAAACATCTGCTTCGCAGGCTAATTAACATCACACTTTGCAGTAGGCAAAGTGTCCGTTTTTGAGAGATGTCCGTCTTGTAGAGGGTCAAATTAAGGTGTAAAGAAAGGCAAGGACCAATTCTGGGTGTCCGTTTTACAGAGGTGTTCCTGAAGAGAGAGTCGACTGTAATGAACTGAAGTCTACCTGAAAAAACTAATTATCTTGTCAATTTTAGATTTTAGGAACAGCAACAGAAGAGACATGGCCTGGTGTTTCCAGATTACCTGAGTATAACGCAGGTATGCATTATAGGCAAGGCCTTTTGTCACTGATATACGTTTACAAAGCACACTAAACAGTCATCCTCTTAACCGCTTAGTGTATATCTACGTTGTTACGATCTCTTAGTTCCCCCATTTTTACTCCACAGATGTTTTTGTTGACTTTCCACCCCAGAGACTTGGAATTGTTGCTCCGAAGTAAGTGATTTTCACCTAATTGTCACGATACGATTACTGGTATAGATGGCGTGAGTGTAATGCATTTAACAGTCAAACTGTTCGGTAGCGGACACCTATATAGGACCAGACAAAGTATCCAAGGGTGTTCTCCTAATCGCATCCGTCGAAAAAAATTGATGTTTTGTCTCAGCGAATGAAATTGCCTCGAGTGATATCCCCCACTTATGATTATCCAGTGATTTTGTTCCCTGACGCATAAAAATCTCCAAAGACGCAAAATAATTCATGGTAAAGATCGGATAGATCTGAAGATGTGTATTTCTAGAATATTCTCACGCTGTTCGTGTTGTTAGCTTTTACCTTTGTTGTGCTTTAAAATAGAAGGAATATATTTTTACAGAGTTTTGTAGTCTGTCTTCAGTAACTTTCTGGTTACATAAAGGCCCGAGCATATTCAATTTAGGACTCATTGGTTTTTTGAACAGGGACTCAGGGGCAGATCAAGGGGGAGGGTGCAGGGGGGCCCCCCCGAGATGACCTGTGGTTTTCTAATACAACTGGTATTCTGCCAAAAAAAAAAAAAAACTATGTGGTTTATTGGTGTTGAAGTAGAGCAAGAGACGAGTGCACCCCCTCCTAAAAAGAATCCTGGATCCGCCCTTGGGACTTGCAATTGTTGTTTCTGCACTGGGACTCAATATTTTTCACAAGGTGAGTCCCAGGACTCACCATAATTAACAATTATTCTTTGAAATCGAGGTGAATAGTGGCAAAATATTTACCGAGACGCGAAAGCGGCGAGGTAAATATTCCCAAAGCCACTATTCACCGAGATTGAAAAGAATAATTGTTTTAGTATATACACATGAAGTGATCTCAACAAAATCAGAGAGGAAACCATTCAAAAGTACGATTTGATTGACAGATCAAATCACGCGTAAGTTTAAAAATAGATCTTTGCAGAAATTTCAAACATGGCAATTCACAAGTTTATCATTTCGCAAACAAAAGCGTAATGGCTTAAATGGAACCGCTAAAAGTTTGAACTGTTTTCTTACCTGAGAAGAAAAGTAGAGCTGTGTTGTTTTCTGTTGACTCGCCACGTTTATAGCCAAAAGGGTTTGTTGTGTCGTTCTTCGCATGAAGTGCTGACAAAAATGGCGGCTCATTTGCTCGAGGTAAGACGTCGTCTTTCTGTATCATTCTTTTTCCTGTTTACTTGAAACGTAGAATTTCTGCAAACATTTCCTTTTAAATTTGTTTGTCATAAATAAACTTCGATTTTTGAGCCAAAATTGTCTTCTTAGAAAACGGAAACGGCTTCTTCTACGCGAATACACGGGAGGTTTAAACAATCCATCGAGCACAAAACTCCTGCTACTACTGAGTGCTACAGTAAATTGAAAAACGCCGTATTGAATCCTTCCAAGTCTTTTCTTGCCTTAAAAAAAGTCAGCCCTAGGATTCTGTCGACTTTTAAAAGATCGTTCTCTAAAAAATGGGAAAAACACTGAGCTCACACATTATCCACTCGCTAGGAGGTGAATATTGTTGAATAGTCCGAGATAGCGAACCAATCAGATTGCTTAAATCACCAAGATCACTGAGTGTGTATATACTAACTATTCTTGTAACAAAATCACTGTTATGATATGTCTTCAGGTTGTTGCTTATTACTGGAGCTGAATCTCTGGCCACAGAAATGGTGCAGGTATGATCTACCGTATCGAAATATAGAGAATCATGTCAGTACAGCATTAACTGAGCACCTTTTGAAGAACTGTAAGTTTCCCAAATTGTGCATTGGTAGATTGTGTTCTGTGAAACAAAATGTTGGCTTTTGATTGGTATTTGAGCCGCTGACGTGCGGGTAGATCATAACTTTTTGGGGTTGTTCATTTGGAGTTAAGTGGGGTGGAGTTGAAAATTCTTTGATTCTTGTTTATTGAACGCGTCACAAGACTCTCCAATTTGTTGTCGTTTTTCAGTGTGTTCCAAAGAACAGAATATCCGCCTCAGATGCTATGAGTCATGTATACTTCAGCGACTTACCAAGGGAATTATTCACTTTACCAAATGGTAGGTAATACGTCTTTACTAGTTTTCTCTCGTTTTTCTTTTTCATATCAGAAATATTGTGATAAGTTTGACTTAAAGAATTATTTCATTCGCGTACACATTTTGCTAATCACAGTCCCTTTTATTGGGTCAATTAATAGTCGTGGGATAAAGGACTACCAGTAAGTCATACAGTCACGAGTTCTTTGTGATTTGGGTCCTTATTGGCCAGTAAATAACTTGAAACCCGCAAACATGAATCCATAACAGTGACAGGACACCCAAGGAACCACAGGAGACTCAAAGATAAGTGGCTCGCAGCAATAATATGAAATGCTCACTAACGCTACTTTCTTGTTTTTAGTGGTGTCAATATTTTCAGTCGCTGGTATTCAGCTAAGCAAGGACGAGCAATGAGGAAAAGGGGGCTTGGTTTTGCAGTCTAATCGCCTACACTGCTTTGCTGTTAATAGCGCAAGCTGGACTCTCCTCTCCAACAAACTCTCTCAGATTTGCATATAAGATGATTTCCCAAGGAGTATCTTACAAGAGGAACTATAGTTTATCTTTTTTATTCAGTTAATTATTAATTGTCGCCCTTTTGTGACTGAATTCCAAATATATTTTAAAACATTGACTTCAGGAGCTCATAACGTGAAGCGAGCCTCTCCCATACTAGGCTTGTTTCACTGTGTTTTCATCGACCGGTTTGTTTTAAGATGCATATTAGGGCACCTCCATTCAGTCTATGAGCTGAGTGTATTCGAAGTATAAGAAGATATGAAACTTCTTTAAAATTTCCAAAATACTAGCCATTTTCAGGCCTGTATGTTTTGCCGAATAGTAATAGGGGAATTTAATGATTTGCGCCAAAACCGTGCTAAAAATAAACTGGTCAGTGAAATGTTAGCGCCCTGACACGAGTGTATGGAAGTTGCTCACTCCAGCTTATTGGCTCCTGTTAATGCCGAATATTACCCAGAATAAACTGAACTGAAGGAAACTCTTGATGTTCTTATTGCAATGCGGGTTCAATTGAATGTCGCTAAGTTATTTACTTAGTTACTTGATATTAAGTTATTAACCAATCAGAACTCCGAACATCACGCGTAGACAATCAACTGAACCAATCAGAGCTCGAACAAAAGCTTAAACGTTTGCCAAGAGCGGGAAAACGCATGTGAGCAAGTCAAGATTCGTTTACTTCTGATTGGTGGATAAAACTCCGCGAGATTTCAGTCCAGCAAATCAAAGGCGTGGCAATTCAAAGTTGACTCAATCACGTGATTACTTTGAACAACTCGCGACATTCATTTGAAAATACTCGCTAATCACTGAAAAATGTTACAGTTACAGGTTGCATCTTCAAAAGGTTCATCCCAGGGATTAAACGATGTATATAGTTTTTACAGTGCGGTAAATGCAATTTTTTAAATTCCCCTTGTAAATTATGGCTTCCAATTTATTTATATTAATATATTTGAAAGTAAATTATGCGTTTTCTATCTTAAAAATGGCAAATTTTGGGGATATAAATGGTCTTTGGTAAATATTGATATCAGCTTTCTTAAAGCCTGAGATATTTAGCTACTTAATGTGAATTTCTTTTAATTCTTATTTTATACTTATGCTGATTAAGTTTGTAATATTGTCAGTGACAATGTGCTGTAGTTTGCTTACTGTTATTACTATTATCAATTTTGCATTTCTCTTTTTTCCGTTTTTGCTTAATGTGCTTGGTTCTAGTAGTCTAGTTAGCCGGGTGAATCAAAACCCTTTTTCTTTTAATAACAACAACAACAACAACACTTTATTCCGTTTTTAAAAGAACAATATTACAAGCATTGACAAACCCATTTAGCATAGCTAATCGAGAGTGTATTAACGACTGAGTCAGAGTGGACGTCAGTTCGTTCTGTGATTATGGAAGCGATCAAACAACATGGTTCTCAGTTTGTTGTATACTTGTAGATGGAACTGGACGACAGGAAATTCTGTTTTTTCACTTGACAGAACAGTCTTAGTTTTAGTCTTTATCAAAAAAGGATAAATCTCTCCTGTTCTCATGGTATTATCGATGAATTTTAGACGATCAAAGCCTTCCTAACGGATTGCTTACCGCCGGAAATACTTCGTTTCGTGCTACTGGTTGAGTCATCTGCTTCCCCTGCTAAGGAGGATACTGGTTGTAGAGGGAGATGGATCTTTTTTGGGTTTTGATTGTTCCTGGTCAATATGTTTGCCTCCAAATCATCAGGTCACTAGAATATTTTACTGATATCTGCTCCGTGTGTTCTTGTTCAACTCAGTTATTTACTGGGCGCCAGTTGAATGAGAGACTAGCCCTTACATAATTCTGTATATTTAATAGGATGTGTAATTGTATTTTTCGAGTAAAAAATGCGTGGAAGATATTTATTTGAAACATGGAAAAAATTAAATGTCCAAGACACTGCTTTGTGTGTTTGTCATCTATGAAGGTTTCCATAGAAATTGTTTAAAACGTGTTTAAACTGCTACAATCGAGGTGAAAAGAACTTAGAAAGTTTCAAGTAATTGTTACCCAGGGCTGTTATCCTTCGTCGGCTTTAGGTTCATCTCTTCATCCCCCGAATCTGCCTTGGCAATGTTGGGCCCAAAATAGTTAATAAATGTACATTTTGCGGTAGGCTTGAGGATAACCTGAGATGAGGCTCTATTTTCGTTTCGCTTTGTAAATAACATTCCGGTGGGCAGAATGTAAGAGAACCGCTCAAATTGGGCCTGATCTCAGGTTAGCGTGGGGAGGGCTTCAGCCATTTTCAAATATGATGGTAAAGGTCCAAGCATTTCTGCCCTCTGTTGCAAGCGCTTGAAACCGGAAAATGTGATTAACATATTTGAACAACGGTAGTACGGAGCTTAAGCAACGACGACGGCGACGGCAACAAGAACAGAAAAAAGAAATAGGTTTAGATTGGCAAAACAACAACTTAGCACGTGCATCACGCTTTTTGGTACATTTTCTTTGCCGTCGTTGCACGACTACAACGTGAAAGTGCCTAATTTCACGTTTTGCCGAGGACGTAAACACAATTTTTTTTGCTTTTCCTTAAGTTTGACCCGATCTTTTAGAATTCAACTCCAGAAAAATTTGCCAACTCGAATTGGAATAAGCGCGATCAAGATTGAAGTAGCGCGAATTCACTTTTAAGTGACGTTTTCGTAGCCGTCGCCGTCGTTCTTGCTTAAGATTCCTAAAGTCCAACTTCGTTACCACATTATTTAACTCACGCTTAATACTGGGTTACCTGTGGTTCGGTGGTTCGCGCCAGGTTTGCAAAACAGAGCTGCAGTGCGCTTTGCAAGCAACAATGACTTTGTAGAGGGCGGCCGGGCTTTCTTTGCTCAGATTTATAGACATCGAAATCAAGTGCAAGACTTTACGGGAAGGATGCATTCATTCATTCATTCATTTTATTTGAAAAGTTCAGGTAAAAACTATTTGCGAAGGGATAGGGGAAATCAAGTATGGCGAGAGCTGTCCCAGGTTTTCATCTCATCTCTAAGAAGTTTCCGTAACTTGTTAAAATCGCTGCTTAACTTTGGTGCTCCGAATCCTGGAACATTATCAGCGATCCGTGAACAAACACCCAGTGATTAAAGATCGAAGGAAAAGAGGAATATTCAAATCCTGCCACTGTATTACGGTGTAACGTGATAGCCAAACAGCAATAACAAATAGCGACTTGGGTTTTCCCGAAACAGCAAAAACAAGCGATTAGTCTTGTTCTATTCAGACAAGAAAATGAAATTATCGGGAAAGTCGACTGGGGTTTTGTTTAATGTTCTTATCAGTTGAACTTGTTGCAGAAATCTTCTTTCTCTCATTTGCAAGATACTGTATGAGACTTCGTATTTTTGCGCCTTCTCAAACGCGCTGACGGACTTAATCTTTTAAAGCGAACATTTTTCCTCCACCCCTCCCCTTCGTTGTAACAAGGCAGCTGCATTCTCAAGTCGGCCTTTTGATTGGCGGAACGAGCTAAAATGAACAATGGATGTCTGGGAGAATAAATTAATAAGTCATTTATTTATAAAATAGAGTAGTGCATCGTCCTATGGCAACCGCTTGCTCAACAGAATCAGTAATCAGGAAGGGCAATTAGTTCCTTTCCATTAACGATTTTCTTGGCGATGTGTGATGTTAGAAAGCTGCTAAAATGATGTTCTCCTTACTTAGTCAAGGATATGGGACTTACGATGGAACAGCAAAAAAAGATTATCAAGAAATCGCGGACCAAAAGGTATCGAACGTAACTGATCATCAGTCTTGCACTCGTATAATTTGCAGCAGACGAATCCATCATGTCATTTTTCGTGTTCTTCTTGGTATAAACTCTGGTCAAAAAGAAGTGTCTGATTTTACACTTCTTTTGAGAATGATTTTGTGTATGGCTGTTGCTCGAAGCGTGAAGGCTTTTTAGAGCTCATTTGCAGGATTCGATTCTTCCCGAGTTAATCCCGCATTCTATCGCGTGCTTAGGTTTTGCTCCATTAATGTATCGCGGTTCTTTCGTTCGAACGTGTAAGAGATCCCGCCACTAGCTTCTCCGAGCTTCAATATTGAGTATAGTACACGGAGTTTTGTTAAAGTGTTGTTCGAATTCAATATCGGGGTCAGCGTGTTTTATATTGACTTTTTGATGTCGCGGTACGTATAAAGTCATTGAAACCAGTGATTCCTGTCGAGCCGGGCATTCTATTGTGGAGAAACAATACCTTACAAAAATAATAAATCTTCCCATAATTGTCATTGCAACACGAAATTTTCGTTCGCTCGACGCGAATTTTGTCGGAATAATCAAGTTGGCACTGTCCAAGCATGCTAATGTGCTTTAGTTTACAAATTGTAAACAAACAGCAAAGTTTCATAAAGCTCAAAACAATACGTATAATTATTTTTACATGAAAGGCTCTAAGACTTTAATACCAGCGATAATTCTTCCATTTTTGTGTTCAAGACTCTCTTGTTCCAAAATAATTAGAATGCTATGGTAAAATTTTTTTCTTCAAGACGGATTCGTCGATTTATCATCTTTGAAGCTTATTTCCATAAGTTGTTTTGATTAAACTTTTTTCAACCATCGCAGCTGTTAATAATCCCTGTGGATAACTTTGACAGAGCTCAGATTTGACCGGCAAATGTCAACTTTTTATGTCCGTGCCAAATAATCGTTGGAAGTTTGACACATTAGTAAAATTAATTTGACAGATTTATTAAAACTGTGTCAATTCCGTTTCTGATCAGGCCGGTATAATAAGTTTTGAATAAATTTAATATGAGGCACTATATCATAGTGAACTCGGTATGCAATGTTGGATTTTAATTAAGCTATAAAACATAACACTGGTTACTTGGGGAGCCATATGTATATAAGGGCAATCTGCACTAGCAGACAAATTTGGAATTGTCTTTGAAATATCTAAACCAAAAATTGTATGGAAAGAATAATGGCTTTACAAGAAGTGATTGACAAGAAAAACACATTATAATTTAGTTTGTCAATTTTGACACGTTTTTGCCTGGGATAACTTTTGTCCACGGCACCTTTGAAGATTTTCCTGTCTCAGACAAAAGTTGTATAAGTGCGACAAACCATCTGAATTTGTTAAGCATTGGAGAGGACAGAAAATTTGTCTAAATAAATAGCTTTTTTGCTAGTGTGGATCAGCCCTAATGCTCCGTCCAACGTTCAAAACTGTTATACCTAGCAACTTAAAATTGTAGTGTCAACCCTGATTTAGCAGGAGCCAACACCAATAACAGTTCACATAATGCAAGCCTGATTTAAAGTGCATCTTTTTTTCATGTAGGAGTATTTTTCTTTGGACGATCTCCATTTGCCCCCCATTGGATCAAATTACAGAATACCACCACAAATTGAGGTGTCAGATTACCAGGCTGGACCCAGATATGAGAACAAGTTATTTAGATTACCTAAGGTAGATAACACTAAGCAATCATGTATAAATGTACCGAAGACCTACACAACAAGGAAAGGAGCATTACTTTTATATGCAGAGGACTTTTTCCTGCCTGGTTCTCCGAAACCAAGAAAGAAGCGCCACAGAATTAAGAAACAATCGTCTCTTAAGTTAAAGACAATCAGTGACTTGAGGAACTCCATCTTGGACTATAAGAATGGGGTATGTATGGTATTATGCTGTGTAGGATTTAAGTACTTTAAAATGATTAAAAGGTTTAGGGTGCATTTGCTTGACCTTATTCTGGAAAAAGAATATACAGATGTTTTGATACAATTTATTTCCTGGGATTTTTGAACCACTGGTATGCTACAATCTACATGCATCTTCAGTTAATACTGTGTTTCCTCTAAATTTATGTATGAATGGTTGAACAAATAGTTTCTCAAATTTATTCCACTTATTCCAGTATTTCTATAATATGGTCAAATGGATCAACCCTTAAAAGCATGATGCCATCCTATAAAAATAATTTAATGCTACCTTCAGAATATTCCTTTCCCTGTGGAAAGTGGCCAAAGCCGATGTTCAGCAAAATTAAAAACAAACCAAAACACAACACAATAAAATAGTACCATGTGCAAGAAGCACTTTGTACAGCATAATAAACAGTACCACAGGAAAGTACTGCTCAGTAGCTTTCATTTGAATGGTCACACTTTAGGATTTCATCCACAGACTCAAAAGTTAGAACCACCTTGTACAGCATAATAAATAGTACCACAGGAAAGTATTGCTCAGTAGCTTTCATTTGAATGGTCACACTTTAGGATTTCACCCACAGACTCAAAAGTTAGAACCACCTTGTGCAGCATAATAAACAGTACCACGGGAAAGTACTGCTCAGTAGCTTTCATTTGAATGGTCACACTTTAGGATTTCACCCACAGACTCAAAAGTTAGAACCACCTTGTGCAGCGTAATAAACAGTACCACAGGAAAGTACTGCTCAGTAGCTTTCATTTGAATGGTCACACTTTAGGATTTCACCCACAGACTCAAAAGTTAGAACCACCTTGTACAGCATAATAAACAGTACCACAGGAAAGTACAACTCAGTAGCTTTCATTTGAATGGTAACACTTTAGGATTTCATCCACAGACTCAAAAGTTAGAACCACCTTGTACAGCATAATAAACAGTACCACAGGAAAGTACTACTCAGTAGCCTTCATTTGAATGGTCACACTTTAGGATTTCACCCACAGACTCAAAAGTTAGAACCACCTTGTACAGCATAATAAACAGTACCACAGGAAAGTACAACTCAGTAGCTTTCATTTGAATGGTAACACTTTAGGATTTCATCCACAGACTCAAAAGTTAGAACCACCTTGTACAGCATAATAAACAGTACCACAGGAAAGTACTGCTCAGTAACTTTCATTTGAATTGTCACACTTTAGGGTTTCACCCACAGACTCAAAAGTTAGAACCACCTTGTACAGCATAATAAACAGTACCACAGGAAAGTGGTCACACAACAGGATTTTGTCCTTAGACTCGAAGGTCATATCTGTAGATCGCTAGAACCACCTTACTTACCAGATCCCGTCATATACTCTGGCAGTGAAAGGTTTTATGTGACCAAATTCTCATGGCCTAGTAGCAGCAGTGTTGATGGGGTTCAACTAGATTGTGGGAGGCATTGAGTAATCTAATATTCAGCGTGCTGAACTCAGGATTGAGAGGTCTTGGTTCAAGCCCTTGCCTGAGCTGGATTCTTGTGCTTTGTTCTTGGGCGAGACACTTCTTTCTCGTACTCTCACAGTGCCTCACACCATGGCCCCTGGCCCAGGTGTATTAAAGGGTATTGGTGAATGTAATGCCGAGGGGTAATCCTATGATGAACTACAGCTCTAGCATCCTGTCATTGGGGCAGGTGGAGAGGGGAGTTTGGCCTTTTTTATTACCTTCTTTAGTAAAGTATCTTTTGTTTTCAACAGGGGGATCCCCTTTTTCTGGCTTTGCTTGAGAAACGCCTCAGTGGCTACAAAGACCATTCAGTGAGACCAGGGTTTTCACCAAAACGCTACATTGCATCTCTTGGAAATTCACTGGAGGGAGACACTTGGAATCGATTAACTGCTACAGGTTCTATAAAGGATCCAACACTACTGACTTTTGATCCGAAAGGAGCACCATTTCACCAGGATGTTGGTTTGGGCTCTTTATTTCCTGATAAACCACAGCCATACAGTACAATGTCCCTTCCTCCTGTGTCCCCATCAAGCTCAATGTTTGACAGCTCATTTCATTTTTACAAGAATGGAATGTCAACTGGAGCTGCGTCACTGATATCTATAAATAGTGAAACAGAAGAATACGCTCCATCTTCAAGAGCTTTGAGTCCAGCTGAATCATTGAGCAATCGCCTTCCTGAAGTGGAACTCCTGCCGCAAAGAAGAGACCAGTATGGACTGTTAAATGCTAAACAGAAAGAAGACCTAATTTCTCATCTTTTACTTCAGAAAACTTTAGAATCTGATCTCTCAGACCTTCAGGGATGGGTGACAAACTACCCAGATGAAGGGGGAGGGGTAGAACAGGAACCTGCTGTTATGGTTACCATACCAAAGAGTAAAGCCAAACACAGAGGGAGCCTTAAATCGGGCTCTTTTCCTTCCATACCACGCCTACCCCCTATACAATCTGCAGGGGCAAGACCGACAACACCTATGGAACTTCAAGATGGCAGAACCGTGATGCTGGCATCACGTGATGAACAAAAAGACACTTTCCCTGACACCAAACAGGAACCTGATGTTGTTGATCTAGGTTCTATACTCTTAGAATTAAGTTCCTCGGATCAAAGCATTCCTTCATTAGACCAAAGAGACCTACAGGGTAAGTTAAAACCATCTGGAGTACTTACCATTTAAATGGGAAAACCAGAAATTTCGGTTGGAAAATCTAATGGTTCATGCCATTCTCTCTGGGAAGCTTCAGAAAATATGGGTTTGATTTGAGGCAAGGCATTTTTTCTAATCTTTTAAGTCTGTTCAACTGATGTTGATATACATACATACATACATATACCTTATTTATACTCAAAATTTACAGAGTAGCTGTAGAGCTAATACCTTCGAGAAAATAAGTTAAAATAAAATAAAATACGCTATCATTATTACAATTCCAATATTACTTATAAACTATAGACAACATTATAATTTATATGCACAGGGAAATATAACTTGTAGATCTACTGTGGAAAAGCTTCATATCTGATATACTTTGTAGTGGGTTGTTCTCCCACTAAATCAAATTTTAGTTTTAAGTTTATAATTACACGCATTACATTTCCACCAAGATGGTGTGTGTAAATGCTAAGTGCCCCTGGAATCTTTATTATTTTACCATTATATTACCCTTGAGAGCATTAGAGTAGATCATTGTCACATTATTACAATAACAGTTTAACCTTGTCGTTAAGGTGGGGACGTCATTGCTGGGTCTGAAGCAACTGCTAACAGTGAAAGTAAGAGTGTGTCAAATGTTAAAGATGATGACGATGTTGCTGCATCTGACCAAGCTGCTAATGAGAGTGTATCAGAAGATTCAGCTGAAAGAGTGTCTCTTAAAAGGGACTCCAGTGAAGAAGGTACCATTTCCCTTGTTAGGTTCAGAAAGTCAAGGGAGATCTAGGGGGTTGGGGGGGGGGAGGGGAGGGGAGGGCAGTTCTCTTGGGTGCCAGTGTATTCCCTACTAACCTCTGATCAGGGCTGTCACTAAGAACTGCTTGATGGGAATTGTTGTGGTTTTTTTATGCTTTATTAGGGCAAAACTATAATCATGAAAAAAATTTAAAAGACATGAATAAAGAAATAATTTATTATAATTTATTACAAGAATTATTGAAAAATAATAATAATTGCGGATCACCAAAAGGGTAAGTGCAAACATGACGCTCCCCCCATGCAAGGCACCGCCCTGTTGTTACTTACAATTGCAATGTGTTGTTCCAAAAATTATCCACACCACCCCCACAGAAGGGATTTTTCCTTAGACCCCCCCCCACCTCTCTGGAAATTCCAGTCAAGCTTCATACATGTACTTAAATTTTTGGGCATTTGAGAACCCCCCCCCACCCCCCAGGAATTTCCAATCCCTCCTGTGGGGGGAGTATGGATATTTCCTGGAACTACACAATTTCAATTACGATGCTGTTAAATAGCTTATTTTACCCTTGAAAAAAAAATTAATTCAAACCCTAGATGTACGCTAACAAAAAAAGTCCCCTGGCTTTATAACTATGAGCCTGATCCCACTGGTTACTTTTATAGGAGGCAAAAGGAAAATACAACCAACAGAACTCCCTGGCTTTTTAAATCCTCGCCTACTATATTAACTACATGTGCATCGCAACTTTTTAACTTTGAAAAAATTTTAGCGACAGCCCTGCTGATATCATGTCTCTTCGGCCTTAGATACAGAATAGTGTTTGAGAAAATCCCACACCACAGTCCAAGGGTAGATCTGATAAAAAAAACAAGACGTGATTTACTTTTTCCCTTCCTGATGATACCTTCTTGTGTTTGTAATTGCAGCCGACGAACCTTCAGACGTTGTCAAAGGTGATAAAAATGAAGGAGAGGCTCATTCTGAGAGTGAAGAGTCTATAGCTGGTCAAGGAGTGTTACAGAATGATGCAGTCATAGCTCTTGATGATATAGTTCTTACAGATGACACCATTCACAGCGATGACAAGCAAGGAAACCAGGACAAAAATATGGAAGATGTTGGTGCAGAGATTGCTATGACAGAAAGGAAGGAAACTTCTGCCGAAGGAGGAGGTGGCGAACTTGATAATGGCGCAGATTTAGTTGCACCTTTAGGTGACACTGAGCTGGTGGGAAAAGAAGAGACTGGTGCATCTCAGAACATAGGACGTGCTGAAGAAAATGAGGGTATTAGCCTTGACGGAGAAGAACTTGACGCTACTAAAAAACAGGAGAATGAAGGGGAACTTTCTCAAGCTGATGACAGAGTGGCTGTGGAGGAAGGTACAATAGCTCTAAAAGTATTCTGTAGTGTTATGATTTTATCACTAAAGCTCAACCAACATTTAACTTAAGAGTGGATTTCCATTGATGCCGCAAAATCTTTATGGGCATACGCATGTAAAATACACATGCGTAAGTATATACGAGAGCTGGGCTCGAAAAAAGTACCATCCGGTTGGCCGGAACAAGTACATTTTCTTGCTGGGCAAGTAAGTGGCCCAGGGCAAGCAAAATGAGGGAGCTGCTTGCCCAGAGAACAAACTGGAATTCAAGTTTTTTTCGAGCCCTGAAGAGGTGGTGTATAGAGGGGTGCGAGTAAACGTAAAAATTTTAACAAGGTTCAACTTACATGATTACATGCCACCTTCCATACAATGCCTCTATTAATTTTATTTACGCAGGTAAAATGCACATGAGAATTTTGCGGCAGTTGAAATCCACCTTAAGTGAGAAACTAGCGTTAACTTTAGATAACGGGAGGGATATGTGGGCCGCTTACCAGAAATTTTTTTTTCATCGTATTTTAGGTGCGGAATATCCTGAGGGGGAGGCAGAGCCCCCTCCTCCAATCAGCTTAGAGGAACTACAGGGTGAAGTCCGAACTGTGGCAAACAAAGTCCTCAGTCGTCCACAGTCTGGCATGGTGTTCATGGAGGATGTCAAGACCGCAATTGCTATGTGGGCTGATCGTTTATCCTACCTCCTGGGTCCACCTAAATCAGGTATGCTTTATCACAGGCTTAAACAACCTCTGTGTTGTGGACTATGCTCAATAGAAACCTTTAGATTCTAAGATGAGGACGACTACAAGAAGAAGATTTTCTCAGAACAAAGTAGTGCGCATGCGTGAACCAGTATGATTTTTCGGTAACTGTTGTAATATTCTATCTACTACAGGTTTTTGTGAAAATGTCGTAGTGATGTAAACAAGTTATCACATTTTAGAAGTTTTATCAGTCTTGTGATTGGGAGGGGGCTTAACCTCTGTCAATGAAAAATGGACAATGAAGTTTACTGGAGTGTAATTCCTAGTGATATCTGTTCCCCTACGTGCCAGGGAAACACATGCCACTCCTGATATGTGTTTCTTTAGTGGAATGTGTTTTCTGTACCCAGTAACAATTCCTAGTGATATGTGTTCCTCTACGTGATATGTGTTACACATATCACTAGGGATATGTGTTCCTGGCTTGGGGAAACACATTTCACTAGGGATGTGTGTTTCCTGGGTAGGGGAACACATATCAGGTAAGGGAACACACATCACTAGTGGAACTTGTTTCGCAGGTAAGGGAACACATATCACTGGTGATATGTGTTCCCTTACCTGCGAAACCCTACCCTGGAACAGGTATCCCTAGTGATAAGTGTTCCCCTATGCAATGATATGGCCATATTGTCTTAGACGAAATTCTTACTTATGTTCTGTAATGTACTTGTAGATGCACGTGTCAGCTCCGCCGGCCAACAAAGACCTCCCATGCCAGGTGTGACAACTCGAGGTGTACCAATCCGTCCCACAAGGCACAGGAAAGTGAGCCGATCTGCGGGTCCTTCAGTAGCAGCCCTCAGGAAAGCTTTGATGATTTCTGGAGGTGAGTGTGACTTCAGCATGTTAGCGTGAAAGGATCAGGCAATAGAATAACCTGCAAGCAAGCTCCTAAAGGAACTCTGGGGCAGGGGAACGTTCCCACTCCTAGAACCCCCAGGCAGCCTTCTTGCAGGCCAGCAATAGACATCAGTCATGTTTTCCATAAGAAAGTGGAACAGGAGCATCAGGTCTTCCTCAGGGGTTAGCTAGGGAGAGATGATTATGAGGGTGGGGTAAAGAGTGTTTCTCTCTCTCCACTCGCTCTCCCCCAGACTTGTTATAGTCAACCTTTGTAGTTTCACTTTCACTGCAGAGAGCGAGTGGGAGGAGCGTTTTAGGCCGCGAGACAGCCGAGCGAGTAACTATATCGCAAGAGGCCCTCGTGGGCCATATTAAATAGGACGAAGGACTTTTTCGAAAGTCAAGTTCTTTTACCTTCGCTTTTCTCTTCCATTTTCTTCCCCCCCGCCCCTCACAGAAATGTCTGATACTCAAGTCAAAGACACAATGACTTTATTAGAGAGTTCAGGAAACTGTGGAGATGGTCTTACGATTCCAGATGACATTAGGATCCCAGAGTTCTGTAAACCATGTGATTGATACTTAAAAAGGTTGATTTTTGAAAATTGTTTCTCTCTTGCAATGATTCAGGTGAAGTCCCGGAAATTGAGACCTTGAAAAACTTGCCGCCTCTTCCAGAAAGATTCAGGAAGCCTGGCCGAGCACACCCACCGAGTGGAATATCTAGTGGACATGCACGCCGTGAACAACGTGAGTTTTTTTGCTACTTTCAATAGTTGGAGAACATCAAGAACTATAGTTAAACGTCAAAACAAAGGCCAGCATAGTCCTCTACTTGTAAACAACGTTTTGGGGACTTTTGCTTTTTTGGCCAGACAAAGACCGGAAGTGGCTCGAGTAGATTCAAACAGCGTTTTCATCAAAATTTCTCGGGCCTATGCATTAAAGTCGTACTATTTGATACACTTCCTGGGCGTTTTGCAGGTCATTTACTCTTAGCTCTGAACTCTTTAAGCCATAAGAGCAAACAAAATTGAATTTCTCCTTTTAATACCCGTGCTTAATATAAAACACAATAGTCATCGAGAATTAAGAAAGTGTGCCCACGAGATGAATTTAATTCACGCTTAAACAAGGGTTGTCAAAAAGATTTTAAGTAGCTGGAGAATGAGAGAAAGTAGCTGCCATGTGTTTCCCGGCGGGGCACTAGGGATATGTGTTTCCCAGGTGGGGGAACACATATCACTAGGGATATGTGTTTCTCAGGTTGGGGAACACATATCTCTAGGGATATGTGTTTCCCAGGTGGGGGAAGACATATCACTAGGGATATGTGTTTCCCAGGTAGGGGAAGACATATCACTAGGGATATGTGTTTCCCAGGTGGGGGAACACATATCGCTAGGGATATGTTTGCAGGCAGCAATAACCTTAAAGTAGCCGGTGATATTGCCGGTTACCGGCGCTTTTTTACAACCCTTTATCAGGTGACCCAGTGGTGACCCAGATCTAATGTAGCTCTTTCCGTTCCTTTCAGCCAGGAAAGGTTCCATTTCAACCAAAGGCTCTGCTTCGTCTGGCGCAGCTCAATCCATTCCCTGGGAGAGAATATCTAATGCTGATATACAAGCTGAATTGTTTAGTTATGCATTGAAAGAGCCGAGTCTTAAACAAATGCAGGCTGATGAAATCGAGGACGAGGAATCGGACGAAGACGACGGAAACTTTAAAACAGCTTTAAATGCTGTTGTCAGCGAAGTAAAACCAGACTATGCGCTGATTGAAGCCAAATCGAGAATGGCGGTTTCATCACCAAAGAAGGACCAACAGCCGTTTAAATTTCCACGGCCGGCGGCTTCCAAGCCGCCAGCTGGTCTTGAAAACAAAAAGCCACCAGGGCAACCCAAGGGGAAAGCGAAAACGACTCCGGCAAAGAAACCAGCCGCGCCTAAGAAAAAGGGCGGGAAGAAACCAGCAAAGCAAGGGACAAAGCAAGCTAAAACCACCAAAACTACAAAAGGGAAATCAGAAGCACCGAAGAAGGTAGAGCTGGAGAAAACAGAGGAAGTTGGTGAGAAGGTTGCCGAGGATTTAACGATGGAGGAAAAAGCCGAAGTTATTCGGATCGATTCGGAAACCGGTGAGCGTGAGCCTGAAGCTTCAGACGGAACTCTTGCGTCTTCTGGTGTTTCAAGAGATACTTCAGCCAGAATATCTTCAAAAGCCTCTGATGAGTTAAAGGATAGCAAGGTTGATGAACCCACTGAAACCAGCGAAACATTAGTCCCCGAGCTCCCGCGAATTGTTCCGAAACCACCCGAGCCGGAGCCTGTGCCGTCGGAGCCCGAAGAAAAGCAACCTTCTGTAGAAGAGGTGCAAAAGCCCGCTCAGGAGTCTAGAGCTGCCAGGAGGGCAGCTGAGCGAGCTGCCGCTGCAGAAAGAAGGCGCCAAGAGGTAGAGCGTAAGAGAAAGGAGAGAGAAGAAGCAAAGAGGCGCGCTCTGGAAGAGGAAGCCAGATTGGAACAACTGAGGCTTGAGGCAGAGGAAGAAATGAAGAGGAGAGAGGAAGAACGAAGGTAAGGAAGCTTAATAACGCGCACTATGTGGACTCATGTTTGCTTCACAAGTTACTAGGTAATGATGGGTTATAGTACGTATTGGCTCAATAAAGCGCACTATATTGGACCCATGTTTGCTTCACAAGTTACTAGGTAATGATGGGTTATAGTACGTACGCAAACCTCGAACCTTCTCCTCTGTTTACGCGAGGAGGGGTAGAAACAGCGCGCATCTCATTTACGGGGTGTTTCTTGGTGTTTCAGAAACTTTTGTTGGTTCACTTTTGTGTTGTGGTGATGGGGTAGCCGGTCAATTCGCCCCGGTTAATAGAGGGCTAAGTAACCGTGGCGAATTGACCGTAAAGCGGTGTGGATATTGTTCTGTGTTGTGGTGATGTTGGGTCAGCCGGTCATTTCGCCCCAGTTAATAGGGGGCTAAGTAACCGGGGCGAAATGACCGTAAAGCGGTGTGGCATTGTTCTGTGTTGTGTTGTGGTGTTGGGGTAGCCGGTCAATTCGCCCCGGTTAATAGGGGGCTAAGTAACCGTGGCGAATTGACCGTAAAGCGGTATGGGTATTGTTCTGTGTTGTGTTGTGGTGTTGGGTTAGCCGGTCATTTCGCCCCAGTTAATAGGGGGCTAAGTAACCGGTGCGAATTGACCGTAAAGCGGTGTGGGTATTGTGCTGTGTTAATCTATTGTATTACGTCACTTGGTGATTCCACCCATCCACAACATCAAGAAACTACCCATTTACCTCAAACGAATCCGAGAACTATAGAAAAGTACAGTTCTCCTTGACGCCGGGTGAACTCCTCTCCTTACGCATTTAAAACAGCCAACGACAAAGTGCAAGCATAATTACTATCAGTTGGCATTGGAAAATGATCACGTGGTCACTTTTGTCGTTCGTCATGAGCCAACGTGTCAAGTGCTAAGGGACCCACCATTTAACTCTTGAGGGGGGTGGGGGGGGGGAGTGGATGATTTCTGGTCATCAAGAATTTTTTTTCTTCCAGCAATCTGGTGGGCAGGATATTTTTTTCCATAAGCTTTCTATTACATTTGTGCTGCATGCATTTTTTTTCTTCCGACAAGCGCTTGCAGAAACTGTTTTTTTCAAAATCAACCACCCCCCCCCCCCCGTCAAGAGTTAAATGGTCGGCCCTAAGTGTGAGAGACGAGCGCCGCCTCGCGTTCGACCGTCCCGCTGTAAGATCAGTCAAAATAACGCCTGTTGTGAGGACTGCGTTAAATTCAATGCAATTCGGGAAAAAAATTTTGAATAGCCTGGGAATATTGTAAGAGACTCAATCACAAGTGCTCTGAAACGGAAAAGCTAAAATGCTGAGATCTTTTTGTTAAGATCATAGTAAAATATTAGTTGGTTGTTGTTGGCATTTTAAAAAATTCGCTCTTAGCAGTTCAGTAATATTCTGATAATATCGGGCTATTGGTACCTGTCCGCTCAATGGGGAATGGCGCTTAATGCGGCTTGATCGTGTTTAACTCTGTATTTATCTTGTGTAGACTAAGACGGCAAGAGAAAGACGAAGCAAACCAGCGTGAACGCGAGGAAGAACTGGAGCGTGAGCGACAGTCGAAGATTAAAGCTGAGAAGGAACGGCGCGCACGCGAGGAGTGGAAGAGACGACAGCAGCAAGTACTAGCGCAGAGAAAACTGGAGGAAGAGTTAAGGCGAGAGCAAGAGAAGATTGAAGCTGAGCTGGAGGCAGCGAGACTTAGAGAAGAAGAGGAAAGAATAAAGGCCATGGAAGAGTCTGAGAGAATCGCCTTCCTGGAGAAATTGCGTCGCGAGGAGGAAGAGTTACGAAGAAGACTTGAGGAACAGAAGCGAATAGAAGAAGAGGAGAGGCAATTACGAGAAGAAGAAAAAAGACGAAGGGAAGAAGCGCTGGCCTTGCTTCGGCAAAAACAGCTACAGAGACATTTATTTATAGCAGGAATATTAAAAGAAAGCCATTATTTTTCATTATCCCAGAGATTAACCAGAGCTTTTACGTTTTCGTATTTTGATCTTCTTCCTTGGAATGAGTTAAACCACCTGACGCCACGAACCGGTTCTCCTGTGCGTGATATTCTTTCATCTGTGAAGGAGAAAATTCCTGCAACTATTTTGGAAGAAGACGAGAATATAGAAGATTAAGAGATTGTAAATTGGTTATTTATTTTATTTGAATTTTACGTCTCAGAGATTATGCGACAGAAAAGAAGATTTATTTGTACATATTTTAAGACTAATAAGGGAAAACAAGATGAAGTGTTTTTGAATTTTCAGACGTAACTTCATTGACTTATTAACCCACTCACCTTAGAGATCTTACAAAGTGCACTGTTTGAACTCAGTAGTGCCTTTTTCTGGTCTCCGTCTTCCCAAATTGCACAAACCCACCCAAACGTTTGCTGCTTTAGATCTTGGCTGGATTTTTTTCCAGATTCCAAACTATAGCTTTATAGATGCCAAAATTTCGCGGTAGTTTGGACAAACGTGTTATTTTGACTTCAACTTCTTCCCTCTGCCTTCCTTTCTCTCCACCACTGCTGCTTTCTGCAGCTGTTATACTTTTGCTTCACTGGGCATTGACAATAATTTATGTCATAGAAGGAGTAGAGGTGGAATTATGCAAAAAGATGTCGCATATTATAAAAATTGTCATTACTGAACATTAACAAGATTGTTGGAAATGAGTGCTTTACTAAGATTAATATAATATCTTCAGGAAGTACTGTGAAGTCTTGAAATCAAACATTCCAACTTATCAATATGCAATAACAGTTAAGGCCCGATACACCAACAGAAAAAGAGAAACTACGTTTACGTAAAGCTTATATGCTTCAAAATATTAAGAGCTTCAAATTTTACATACAGGAGAACCTACATCATCTTGACTTCTCGATCATCAGGACTTTTTTTCTCTGGGCTCTAGAAAAAAAAAAAACCAAGTACAGAGCTGTATCTAGCGGGGGGGGGGGGGGCAAGGGGGCAGCAGCCCCCCCTTGGGCCTGTTGAGCTAGACACATCAAGTCTGCGGCTCAACGCTCCAATAACGAAGCTGACCTCGGTTAGAAGATCGTTGTTAAATAAAGAGATGTTTCTTTCCTTCATCGTGGCTTTCGAATTCCGCCAATTCCCTAGGACTGCCCTGATCTGTATTTTTGCAGCCGGTGTGGCGCGGTCTGGTTAGGTATCAATATCTTGTGGGTGTAAGGGTCACAGAGTGTCAACTTAAGGAAAGACTTCACTTGTGGTGAGACCGGAACAAAACTTTCAATCAACAATCAGGTGTCCTCTGTATTGAGAAGATAAGGGCTATATACATGTAGTTATAGTCACCAGTTACACGATTTCACAGTGAGGAGGCCATTTTATGTAGCCATACATGAAGTTTTAAAAATCCGCTGTCTTTTCAAAGAAGGGAGAGCTTTATATTTAAATTTCGCGCACGGCGCAAATACAAGTCTTAAACAGTATAACCGAGGTCATGGCTGGTTTTAATCACTTACCTGGAAGCCTCACACCTAGGTCTTGGTTCGATTTACAGGAGAAGAAAGCGAAGGAACGAGAAAGGACCCTTTTTTTGCTTAACAATGATTTACTAAGCGACATTAAGTTTATTGTTTCAGCATCCAACGTCGAAACCGACTCTCAGAACCAGAAAAGCAAGATGGTGATTCCAGCGCACAAGTTCTTGTTGGCTGTTCGAAGTCCAGTGTTTTTTGCCATGTTTTGCGGCGAAATGGCCGAAAAATCTGACACTATTGACCTACCAGACTGTGAGTACGATGGAGTGTTGGAAATGCTGCGATACCTATACAGCGAGGAGGTAGAATTGAATGACGGCAATGTTCTACACGTGTTGTATTTGGCCAAGAAATACGTCTTGCCCTCTCTTGCTGATGAATGCATCGTTTTTCTCTTAAGGCAATTAACTGTAGCTAACGTGCTTTGTGTTTTGTCACACGCTAAACAGTATGAAGATAAACCTCTCGTAGACCGATGCTGGGAAATGATTGACAGAGAAACCGAAGCAGTTGTAAAATCGGAGGAATTTGTAACAATTGACAAGTCCTTACTTGAAGCCATAGTCAAGAGAGACACACTGACTATCTCAGAGTTACAGCTGTTCAAAGCTGTTGACCAGTGGGCTGTGAAAAAGTGTGAAATGCAGGGATTAGCTACAGATGGCGACATTAAAAGAAGAATTCTTGGTGAAGAAATTGTAAAGAACTTACGGTTTCCAGTTATGGAGGAGAGGGAGAGTCATGGTGTTGTACTGGATTCCAAGATCCTTACTGATGAAGAAAAGAATGAATTGTTTTATGAGAATTTATCTGGCAAATTGGTCACACCAGGTTTTCCAGAATTCAGGCGGACTGGTACATATCAATCTTGCTGTAGATTTGGAACATATTATTCCTGTGCCCATGACCCTTATCATTTGGAAGAAAAAGAAATGGGGTGTCGGGATTATGATGGCAAAAATGCTACATTTCACACCATTGCACTTCAGGTAGACAGAGATGTCTGGCTTTATGGGATCCGATTGTTGGGTTGCGCCAAAGGTTTACCTTATCAGGTCACTTTGAAAATTGCTCAAGCTAAGAAAGGAATATTGTTATTGTTTCTGGAAAATAAGATCTGTTATTCAGTCCCTCTGTCATACAGTGCAGACAAAATTAACGGCTTTGATGTTTTGTTTGATCCTTTTGTTTTGAAAAAGAACGTCAAATATGTTGTGAGAGCTGATGTAGATGGACCTGACTGTTGCTATGGAAAGGATGGTGTTGACATTGTCAAATGTGGTGGAGTTACATTTCACTTCAAAAACTATCAAGAGAAAAAGGATTACAGTGAAACTAACATTCAGTTGGGTCAGTTTGCTGAGTTCTTTTTCAAGCCATTAGAAGAGTGTTGTCGGGATTATCCTGTGTATCAGTAATGGCACATTACTGTAAAGAACAGCTCCCCACGACCAACGGAATGTTCTTCACCACAGTGGCATAGAGAAGAGGAGTGATGACATCACATAAAACAAATTTATGAAATTATGGAATAGATTGGCATATCCAGAAAGAACAAGATGAAAAATGTTCACTTGCCAAAAATCAGCTTGTTGGTGCAAATTAGTAAGGCAATGGTATGCTCCCATGACTTTTACAATAGGCCTTGTTCATTAGTGTTATGATCCAAGCCAATGTTAGAAGGATTTTAATTTCACACTCATGTATGGGGGCATCATCACTCATTCCTTCAGTACTTGTAAACTGCGCCTTAAGCAGTCTGGCAAAGTCCCCCAACCAGTGTTGTAAATTATCCCTGAAAAGCCCTGAGGGGAGTGGATAATAAGATATTTACAATTTACAATTTACAATTTGAATCATTAGAGCAAACTGGTTCTTATTATTTACCCACCAATTTGCACTGTCTAACAGGCTGATTTTTGGCAAGGAGGCTGTATTCATCGTCATCTATCTGAATATGCTAACCAATCCCAAAATTTCACAAATTTTTATTGTTTTGACATCACACTTCTCTATTTAGTAGTACTTTATTGTTATGATTGCCAATTCTAGTGTCATTCTGAAGGCCTGAGTTTTTTTTAACGGCATTCAGGTTTGATGTGAGCACTGCTAACAAAAGATTAAATTCAACCTGGATACCACAGCCCTTTCTCAGTGAAGAAGGAGAAAGGACCCTGGGAATGAGGTTGGATGAAAGTACAGTTGATTTCCATAAGTGGGGACGCTTAGTATAGCAAGTTAAGTCCAAAGAGTGAAGCTGAGTAACCAACATCACTTTTCGCTTAACAACTTCCAAAGGATGTAAACATTCATGGCTTTAACTCATTCAGCTTCTTATTTGTTTTTTTCAGCTTTGCAAAATGTCATAATATTTTAGTAGTCCACAGGCGACCCAAGCTAGATGCATAAATTACTGCTAGTTTCGATATTGTTAAGTATTATGAATGATTTAAAGACTTTGTAGTAGTTGAAACGTTGAAATATAGGCATAATTTTATAAATAAATTGTACTCATTGCGTTTTCACTTTGCAGTCCGGTTGTGTCCATGGAGGACTTCATGAAAGCCTTTTGCAAATGACAAGATGACTTTTTGTAGGGAAAATCTCGTGTAACCGGCGTTTTTTGGCGGCTTACTAGCCGGACTGGGAACCAAAAGCAAACATGGCGGAGTGGATCTAAGTTGATGTTCGCTGAAAGGTTTCGGATTTTGTACGGATTCAAGTCAATCCGTTAAAAGGGAAAGGCACAATTGAAAAGGTGCTTAATGAACCGTAAAAAGGGTTTAAAACTTTGATGTTTCTTGTGGGGTTGAGAAACAAGACAGTTTTTCAATGTATTTTTTACTTGTTTTTTAGATACTTCACACGAGTTTTGTGTCCAGTGTAGCTGCAGAGTGACAACTACCTGGGCCGTATGAGCAGGTGAAGTTAAAGTAAGAGATATTCCAACCCCTTCTGAGGGAAAATTGGGAAGTTTTTGTTAGCCTGAAAGGAGCTAACATGAGCGCCTTCGGCACGAGGGTGCGAGTCTCTATGGGTGTAGGGAGGTTCTGATAGCATCCCTCCAGAAAATTTTGCAAACCTAGGTTCTCCCAAGTGCCATTTCCTACATTTTGCACAAAGTATCCACAAAGTATCCTCATGCATGACTTATTGTAGACAACAGCTTAGTTAGAATCACATTATTAGATTTACTTGCCCACTGGACAGGTGGGATTCAATTTTTTGTTCTGCCCTGGATAATCAACTTTTAAACAATACTGTATCATTATTGGAGCAACTACAGAATACAGGGCCATATTTTAAGGTCTTAAACAGAAGTGGCTCGGTGGCTCACTAGTCATGACAAGTGTTTAAAGAACGAGAAAGATATAAGACATATAAGTACAAGACAGACATAGAAGGCATATATTTTAGTATGTATTATAGCAGATTATAGGTATACTTATATTTTAGTGGCTCGGCGGCTCGGTGGCTCTTCAGTTGAGGTTATATAGTTTAGTGGCTCGACGACTTGGTGGCTTGTTAGTCGGGACTACCGAGCCACCCCAACGAATATACCTAGAAAATTTGCCCTGTACTCTGTAGTTAAGCCTCATTATTAGCAACAAATCAGTCATCTACAGTAATTCTCTAGATAAACAGAACAAATGTGATACAGAAACCTGAGGTGCCTTAAAAACAATGTATTAAATATTTTATCTTAGTTAGTAAATGTAACCTAATACTAAATAGAAGTGTGATAAGCTGATAGTAAAAACACATTTAATTTTCCAGAAAGATGTCTGTGCATGGCAAACTGACCATGAAGCATGTAATCCTCAGAGGCCAGCGGCATGCAAACTTGAACTAAAAGTGTGGATTAATCATGAAAAGGTAGGTAACACATCTTACATGGCTGTAGACATAACTGCACCCCTCATTTTCTTTAAATAGAGAGAATTTGTATAACTCGATTCTTATATGCTAATGAAAATTGATAAATGCCAATGTGAAAGACAATGGAGAAGGCACGCACCAAACTGGACACCGCTACATATTCTTAATTGAAAGAGAGTTGGAATCATGTCGGATGTTAATTTTACGTGCAGGACGCCTGAGTTTCACCCATGTGTACCCTCTGGGAAGAATATTGGACTTGGTAGCAAGAATGTTGTTGATAATTTTTTGGCAATTTCATGAAAAAAAAAACCTTTTCGTTCATGTTTGTACGGCGTCTAATAATCTCAAGGACATCCTCAGCTAATAATTAAGCATGGAGGTGATACCTCACCCTATTGACTACAGGAACAATGTCATCTGCAACAGAACCAGCTACATTCAAACTACACACCACGTGAACTTTGATTACTTCATTTTAGTTAGAAAATGTGACAAGAAGGCTTAGAACGCGACCAGATTTAATATAGTGGATCAAATGTGTAATAAAGCAAGAGCTAGATAAGCGGAAGTTTAGTCATGAGCTGATGACAATTACTATTGTATTACACTGTAAAGAAAACTATCACGTAAGCTGTTAAAAAAAGTATATAGTTCACCGTACATAAAAGATGGTCAATGCAAACAAGACCGGTAACATTGAAATAACTGATAGCTTGCTCGACAGAGAAGCTGACATTTAATATTTATATTTTGATATTTTTATTTCCCTCCTGGAAAAATTCTCTGTAAGCAACCCTTAACTCCCTCGGAAATTGCTTCCTTTTGAACTCCCCCCCCCCCGGAATTTCTGTTTTCTTTCGTGGAAGATTATGGATATTTTCTGGAACTACACACTACACTTAGCAGAGGGAGGCCATAGAGGAAAAAAAAAGAGTTTTAAAATACTCCAGCAAAACAACCTTCTTACAGGACAGAAATACAAATTACATACATACATACATACATATATACATAGCAAACAGAATACAAAAGACTGAAGTCCTGATTTGGAGTGCTCATTGGCTAAAAAAGTAAAGTATTCAGAATAAATTCAATTTTTAAATAATAAATAATTATTTCTCCATTAATAAACATTCATCATTTATACATATTTGGAAGATTCTTATTTTTTGTAGGAATAAAATGTTGGTAGATCTAAGTCTTTTTTAAAACATGTCCAGTTGAAAGATGCATCACATTTCAACATGTCCATATGATATAGTTTGACAGGGACAGAAGCAACTAATAACCTTCCAACTTCTGGTAGGTTTAACTCATAATACCCCAATAAGCGTCAGCCCAAGTAAAAAAAATTGGGGGACCACAGGAGGCAAAGAGAACAATTGACCTCGGTATGATTCGCACCGACGTACGTCCTTCAAGTTAGATCTGCTGTTGCTCTACTGATTAATGCTGTGAACCCTGCATAGAGCAAGTCTTGGGTAATTTGTGTGGCAGATCACTTAGGGGGAAGAATGTTTAAACGTTCATATCTAATAATCTATTATCTGCCATAGCACTGTGTAGCAAATGATGAAACATACAATAATATTATCTCTGGAGCTAAGAAAAATCCTATAAACCCCAGAAACCGCATTACCGCTACTTTATGTATGTACTCAACCGTAATAAAAAACAATACTACAATGTATATTTCAACAATTTGTTATCCTTTCTTTCAGAGTTCCTGTCGCTACCCAACTATGGTGGAATTGATGTATAAGCTGCTGCATATTCGTGGGTACAGTCTTAGCAGCAGTGGATTTCATTCTCTGCATAAGCAAGTGAGTGCTTTGAGTTTTCACGTCTTCCGCTTCCTAAATTTCCACCATTTTCATCTTAAATGTCCTCCCCTTTTCTGTTCGATAACCGAGCACATCAACATTTAATTTAATTACCCCAGTCTAAAATTATCTATGCGGACTGTGAGAATCCTGGTTTCTTTGTTAACATTGAAACGTATTTTGCGTAACTGATCAAACCGAATTTTGTGGAGCGAACAGAGAAATGTAGGGATACCAATCTAAAATTATCAACGTGTATACATGTAGCTGCTGAAACGTATTTTGCGTAAACCGCTGTGGCACTAAAACGAACAGAGAAACGTAGGGATACCAATCCAAAATTATCAACGTGGACAAAATCTGGTTTGTTTGGGAACTGATTTTTGGGAACAGAGAAACATTTTGGATAAACCGCTGACACTCAAATCAAATGACCTTAAATCAGCGAACAGAGAAAAATGATCTTAATTGGGAAAATTACCACTTTCATTAAGATACTTTCCAAAGCGGACACTTATGCTAACTTCTTAGTTTCTTCCTATCTCTACAGGTGAAGGTAGCACGCTTTCGGATAGCCAAGAAAACTTTATTTTTCCACTTTCAGTTTTAAAGAGAAGGTCCACATTACTCCAATCTAAAATTATCAATGCAGACAACGGGAATCCTGGTTTCTAGTTTGGGAACTGATTTTTTGTGGAAATTCGGCAGGGTGT